TGTTTGGATAAAATAATGAGACCAATAAGATGGTCACAAAAACTGTCTAATAAGAAGAGAAGTGGCTTAAAGCTTTCAACTTTCTTTCAGGGGTTTTCTTTCTTTTTGGGTCACCTTGCCATGGTGGGAAACGGCTAACATGTTAAAAAAAAAAAAAAAAACATTGCTACTCTATACAGGAGGTTCCTTATATTCAGACAAGTTGCATTTGTAGTTAGTCAGCTTACAAATAAAATGTCTGCATAGAAAACAATAGCAGAAAGGATGGTTATTTTTTTACACATGTTTGTACTGCAGCTTAGCAATTGCAATACAGTATTAGCTCTTAAGTGCTTTGTGTGGAAGTGTAGTATAATATTTGTGTTTTTAAGTATGGATGTAACTTGTGTTTGCAACTTAGTGTTTGGTAAGTGTGAGAGAGTGTACCTTGTGTTTGTAGGTGTAGATGAGTGATACTTGTTGTTTGTGAGTATGGATGAGTGATACTTGTTGTTTGTGAGTATGGATGAGTGATGCTTGTTGTTTGTGAGTATGGATGAGTGATGCTTGTTGTTTGTGAGTATGGATGAGTGATACTTGTTGTTTGTGAGTATGGATGAGTGATACTTGTTGTTTGTGAGTATGGATGAGTGATGCTTGTTGTTTGTGAGTATGGATGAGTGATACTTGTTGTTTGTGAGTATGGATGAGTGATCTTGTTGTTTGTGAGTATGGATGAGTGATGCTTGTTGTTTGTGAGTATGGATGAGTGATACTTGTTGTTTGTATGGATGAGTGATACTTGTTGTTTGTGAGTATGGATGAGTGATAGCTTGTTGTTTGTGAGTATGGATGAGTGATACTTGTTGTTTGTGAGTATGGATGAGTGATGCTTGTTGTTTGTGAGTATGGATGAGTGATACTTGTTGTTTGTGAGTATGGATGAGTGATGCTTGTTGTTGTGAGTATGGATGAGTGATGCTTGTTGTTTGTGAGTATGGATGAGTGATGCTTGTTGTTTGTGAGTATGGATGAGTGATACTTGTTTGTGAGTATGGATGAGTGATACTTGTTGTTTGTGAGTATGGATGAGTGATGCTTGTTGTTTGTGAGTATGGATGAGTGATACTTGTTGTTTGTGAGTATGGATGAGTGATGCTTGTTGTTTGTGAGTATGGATGAGTGATGCTTGTTGTTTGTGAGTATGGATGAGTGATGCTTGTTGTTTGTGAGTATGGATGAGTGATGCTTGTTGTTTGTGAGTATGGATGAGTGATGCTTGTTGTTTGTGAGTATGGATGAGTGATGCTTGTTGTTTGTGAGTATGGATGAGTGATGCTTGTTGTTTGTGAGTATGGATGAGTGATACTTGTTGTTTGTGAGTATGGATGAGTGATACTTGTTGTTTGTGAGTATGGATGAGTGATACTTGTTGTTTGTGAGTATGGATGAGTGATGCTATGGTTTTTCTAAGTTTAGGACCTCACATACATTGATGTTTACAATTTAGATATTACAAAATGTAGAAATGTAAATGGATAGTTACCTTGTGCATCCTGTGACCTTCACAATGCTATGCTGAGTGTCGAGCTGCTCTCTAAGCTCGCTTCGAAGATTACCTGAAACTTACAACATCTTTGTAATTATAAATTTTTTTAAGTCTTGATCTACTTTATATCAGTATGGATTTGCATCCTATTTAACCTTTAAACTCTGCATGATGATCATTATCTGCCTTTGTGTGGAAATCGATACAATGTCCTGGTGAGATATAGATTGATATATGGTTTTAATGTGTCAAGGAACTCAATAATTGAAGTAAATGTTGGTCATAAAAGTAAGCAAATTATAGATGGAAAGTGTTGCATACATCTACTCACAAAGCAAGGTTATGATCGGTGAGAAAAAGATGGACCAAATTACAACTAGAGACAAGACTCAACTTCCTCATGAATGGAACATAGGTTTTCACACATTGCCTGGTATATCACAAGAGGCTCACATCAACTGATCAACCTCTGTAGCCAATTACTCTACCTGGCAAATCTTAGAGTAGCCTTCTGGAATCTCAACTTAAGAGTTATTTCAAGCTCTTTATATAATATAGTGGTACCTCGAGTTACGAACTTAATTCGTTCCAGAAGGTGTTCGAGTGCCATACTGAACAATTTGTTCCCATAAGGAAAAAAATGTAAATAAGATTAGCTGATTCAGACCCAAAATACACTTACAAACACACTTACAAAATACACCCTTAATCTTAAATTTTCGATTTGGGAGCTGTTCGTCAACTTGAGTGTACCACAGTATGTATCAGGAATGAGGGGTGTTAATGTTGCAGTTTTGTAACTGTAGGTAACACACTTTGTCAGACCCGTGAATGGAATAATGTATAAAGTTTTTCTTTTCGGGCCACCCTGCTTTAGTGGGAAGCGGTCAGTGTCTTAATAATAATAAAATATAATATCAGGCTCATCTTGGGTATGCAGCACCAGTACAGAGCCCACATCCGGAGAAGCATGTTAAGAAACTGGAGAACGTGCAGAAGTATGCAACAAGGCTTGTTCCAGAGCTAAGGGGCATGAGCTTTAAGGAGAGATTAATGGAACTTAATCTAACAACACTGGAGAACAAAGGAACAAGGGGACATACAATAAAAAATATTCAGGCAAACTTGATAGGGTAGACAAGGACAAGCAGTCTCAGAGGTGATAAACAGGAACTTGAGGACACAGCTAGATGTTAAAGGCACAGATGAGCCACAGGGATGTCAGGAAGTATTTCTTTAGTCTCTGAGTGGTGGGGAAACTGAAACAACTTTGATGAAGAAGTAGTGGAGTCAGTCAGCCTCATACACAGCTTTAAGAGCAGGTATGACAGGGCCAAAGAGTCCAGGAAGGAGTATGACAAGCAGCACAGCACAGGAGCTAGAATACAACCTCTATAACCACATATAGACGAGATGAGCATTACTTGTATTGTAGATGAATAGTTCAGAGAACCGACACGTTGATAAATTCTGACGTCATGTTGCACGTGTCTAATTTATCATTACTTGTATTATATTTCCTTCTATAGTATTTTGTAACTGGTGTTAAGAGATGCAGTGATGCAAGGAGCAGCACAAACCCTCCACAGTAACTACACAATGTAATACACTTGTTTCTTGGTTAAAAAAAGTTTATTTCACCCAAGTCTGTTAAGATACGTCTCATTTTCTATATATCATAAAACATTAACCTATTTAACCCCTTAACTGTCCAAACGTAGATCTACATTCTTACCGCTGCGCTCCAAACATAGATCTATGTTTTATTTTTAGTGCCTCCAAATTTGGCATGATTGGCCTGAGATGCCTGGTCAGCATATAATGGGTCTTAACACTCGGTGTGTGCAGTATTAAAAAAGTCTGGGACCACTTAGTACCTTGTGGGAGCACCAGATCAGCTCAGCGCCAGCTAGAGCAAACAGCGTGGCAAATGGCAAGGATTCACTGATGTCATGTCGTATTAACATTCACCTTTTAAGAGGAAAGTGAAACAATTTTGGAACGTATAATATGTGTTCGGTAGGCTGGCTGGCTGGCCGGCTGGCTGACCAGCTGGCTGATTGACTTTGTCTCTATTTCCAGGTGTCTTTCTGTATATGTATCTGTCTCTGTCTCTATATCTCTGTCTATCTCTGTCTCTATCTCTGTCTCACGGGTACACATAAATACAATTATACATAGTGTAAATAACCTAGGATAACCCCAAAAAAAATAATGTAGATATAATGCATAGTAAACATAACTGGCAAGTAATACGTAATTTCACTTGCTCAGGAATCAGACATGACGACACAGTCGTGTATAATACCTGTTGGTTCACAAGTGGCTCTCTCTGAGACAGAGAGAGAGACGAGCAGAGAGAGATAAACAGAGCTAGACAGAGACAGAGAACTAGACAGACAGTGAAAACAAATAAAGCCAAGGCAGTGCATGCTCATCAAATGTCACCACTGCTGCTATGTCAGCAATGGAGTGACATTAGTCTTACACCACATTTCAAGGAAACTTTTTATTATTATTATTAAAAACTCCCGCATATCCAAAACATTGCTGGGACCTGTAAATACTATGTATATATTTCTAGACAATGGTATGTGACTAAGGTAGGTGTAAATGTTCACCTGTCACTGTGTTTGTGACTATTTGAGTACTATTTCAGTACCTAAAATTAGTGTCAGAACAAAGATTGGTTATCAAATCATAAGAACTATTACAAATTGTGATTATCAGAACATAAAAATTATATAAATTAAAAAAATGAGAAAAAAGGTATCGGCAACACTTCTGCAAGCGGCAGCCCTTCATGCTGCCATCAGGTGAGCAACAAGCGCCGACTTTGCAGCCTCATATCTCCATAAGTACTGACTAATTTTTTTTTTTTTTTACATTACTTTATGTAAAAAATGTCCTCTTTAGTTAAAAAAAAAAAAATCAAAATATTCGGAGCACTGGGCAAGAGAACGTAGATCTACATTTGGACAGTTAAGGGGTTAAAGCACTTTGTGTAGTTAAAAAAGTGAATATGTTAGTACATAACTCACCAGAAGAGTTAAGATGAAGATCAATGTTTTGTACATGTCAAGCCCAAAATGTAAGCTAAACTGTTTTGTGTATGCACTAAGATTAAGTCTCAATAAATTACTTTCAATGAATAAACAGAAGGAAGATGAGAGACTTAACCATGGTCCCAAAATTGTCAGGTGCATCACTCTACCACCTCAACTACTGGGCTTCTAATAGGAAAGATTTGGAACTAGTACTTATTGTACTATATGCTTTGTGTATGTTGAATCCTAACATTTTTCTAAAAATTTTCTTGAGAAAATGATTCAAATGTCATTGCCAAATTTAGTTTAAAAAAAAAAAAAAAAAAGCAGCAAGTACCAATGGAGAGAGTAGTTTCAGCATCCAGTATGACCCCTCATAACCTTACTCTAAAGGTAATTATACCACCTGGTTAACTACAATAACAATTTACATTTCACTAAGTTTGACAAATAGTTCACTCAAAAATATTTTTATTACCATTTTATGCTTCAATACATTATACTCTCCCTTTACATCCCCATTTATAATGGAATGCTGAACAACATGAATAAACAAACTTACTGAATAGTAGAGAAATTTCTGCGAAGAGTTCTTCAGTTAATATTTTAGGTTTTGAAGTGTCTTCAGCGGCAGATTTACATTTACTTTGTTTATGCTTGGCAGTGACATTACTTACAGCAGGAAGCAAGTGTTCCTGTGTTTGACCCGTCCCCAACCATCGTGCTAACACCACAATGCTTGTTACTAGGTTCATCAGCAAATTCTTGTCACAAGTACCTGAAATATACATATACTGTATACTGTTTTTTTTTCAACAAACTGTCTCACACCAAGGTAGGGTGACCCAGAAAAGAAGAAACACTTTCACCCTCACTCACGCCATCATTGTCTTGCCAGAAGCACACTGATACTACAGTTCAAAACTGCAAATATCCCCACCCCACCTTCAGAGGACAGGCCGCTTCCAGGACTCAGTCAGGCTAGCCTGTTCTACTGAATCCCTTCACAAAAGTTACCTTGCTTACACTCCATCAGCATGTCCATTAAAACCTACTTGTCTCCACACACTTACACAAGCTTCCTACATGCTCAATCCCCTAAACCTCAAAACCTCTTTCACCCCCTCCCTCAAATCATTCCTATATCCCTCCCCTTTCTACCTTTCATCCCAGAGTTGCATTCCCTTTTTATCAACCTATCCCTCTTTGTCCTGTCTACATGCCTATACCATCTCCCAATGGATCCCACAATCTAGGGAGAATACTTTACATAACATTTCGTTCTTTATTGAACCATTATGAAGTTGTGATTTGAAATACTGTCTTAAGTTTGCTCTCCATAATGTGGGCTGATAATGAAATGTTTGTGGTCTAGTTCACTAGCCAGACCAAACACACCTGTTAACTGAGTCAGCAGCTCCTCAGCAAAATGTGTTGGGTTCTGTGGTGGGTTTCGCACACTGCAGCTCTTGGCAAGCCACTTTATGAGCTTCTGACGGACACTAGCACAGCCAACCCACACTCCATGGTGGGCCACCCAAAGCACAAATTTCTCTATGCCAGTGCCAGCTGATGGGATAAAGAAAATAAATGTCAAAAACAAATTTACAATAATAACCTTAAGACTCACAAAATTACAATAAGATGATTGCAAACAAACCGTGAGTTCAAACTCCCACATGTTTTGTGGTTTATAACCTTAATTTTTAAAGGGATGGAGGGGTAAGCCAGTGGAAGGCCTCAGTCCAATGACCAAAATCTCCAGTGGCGGATCATCAAATGACTAAAACCCATGTCAGGAAACACCTGTTCTGTTTCCTGATGAACCTAACCTAAAACAGCACATAGTTTTAAAATATGAAAAACTCAAGGTCTTAATAACTGAAGATATCAGGCTGCATGTTGAAGACAGCAAAGGAAAATACCAAGAACAAGTTGTTGGTTATTTGTCCCTTGTACCTGTCTGGTTCAAAACACAAAGAAGGACAAAATAATCAAGATAAAAACAACCTTTTTATTCTTTTTAGTAATTATTACAGGAAAAGGGGTTACTAGCCCATTGTTCCCGGCATTTTAGTTGACTTTTACAACACGCATGGCTTACGGAGGAAAGATTCTTATTCCACTTCCCCATGGATATAAAAGGAAAAGTACTAAGAACAAGAACTAAAATAAAATCAAAGAAAACTCAGATGTGTGTATAAATAAACATGTACATGTACGTGTAGTGTGACCTAAGTGTAAGTAGAAGTAGCAAGACGTACCTGTAATCTTGCACATTTATGAGACAGACAAAAGACACCAGCAATCCTACCATCACGTAAAACAATTTCAGGCTTTCGTTTTACACTCACTTGGCAGGACGGTAGTACAGTGGACCCCCGGTTAACGATATTTTTTTCACTCCAGAAGTATGTTCAGGTGCCAGTACTGACCGAATTTGTTCCCATAAGGAATATTGTGAAGTAGATTAGTCCATTTCAGACCCCCAAACATACACGTACAAACGCACTTACATAAATACACTTACATAATTGGTCACATTCGGAGGTGATCGTTATGTGGGGGTCCACTGTACCTCCCTGGGTGGTTGCTGTCTACCAACCTACTACCACAGGACGGTAGCACCTCCCTGGGCGGTTACTGTCTACCAACCTACTACCTATATGATAGAGTGGATAGGGAAGCAATGTGGCAGATGTTGCAAGTATATGGAATAGGTGGTAAGTTACTAAATGCTGTAAAGAGTTTTATGAGGATAGTGAGGCTCAGGTTAGGGTGTGTAGAAGAGAGGGAGAATACTTCCCGGTAAAAGTAAGTCTTAGACAGGGATGTGTAATGTCACCATGATTGTTTAATATATTTATAGATGGGGTTGTAAAGGAAGTAAATGCTAGGGTGTTCGGGAGAGGGGTGGGATTAAATTATGGGGAATTAAATACAAAATGGGAAGTGACACAGTTACTTTTTGCTGATGATACCGTGCTTATGGGAGATTCTAAAGAAAAACTGCGAAGATTAGTGGACGACTTTGGGTGTGTGTGTAAAAGTAGAAAGTTGAAAGTGAACATAGAAAAGAGTAAGGTAATGAGAGTATCAAATGATTTAGATAAAGAAAAATTGGATATAAAATTTGGGAGGAGGAGTATGGAAGAAGTGAATGTTTTCAGATATTTGGGAGTTGCCTAGGTAGTAGGTTGGTAGACAGCAACCGCCCAGGGAGGTACTACCGTCCTGCCAAGCAAGTGTAAAATGAAAGCCTGTAATTGTTTTACATGAGGGTAGGATTGCTGGTGTCCTTTTTTCCGTCTCATAAACATGCAAGATTTCAGGTACGTCTTGCTACTTCTACTTACACTTAGGTCACACTACACATACATGTACAAGCATATATATATACACACCCCTCTGGGTTTTCTGCTATTTTCTTTCTACCTCTTGTTCTTGTTTATTTCCTCTTATCTCCATGGGGAAGTGGAACAGAATTCTTCCTCCGTAAGCTATGCATGTTGTAAGAGGCGACTAAAATGCCAGGAGCAAGGGGCTAGTAACCTCTTCTCCTGTATAAATTACTAAATTTAAAATGAGAAACTTTTGTTTTTCTTTTTGGGCCACCCTGCCTTGGTGGGATATGGCTGGTTTGTTGGAAAAAAAAAATTGGGAGTTGACGTGTCAGCGGATGGATTTATGAAGGATGAGGTTAATCATAGAATTGATGAAGGAAAAAAGGTGAGTGGTGCATTGAGGTATATGTGGAGGCAAAAAATGTTATCTTTGGAGGTAAAGAAGGGAATGTATGAAAGTATAGTAGTACCAACACTCTTATATGGGTGTGAAGCTTGGGTTGTAAATGCTGAAGCAAGGAGGCAGTTGGAGGCAGTGGAGATGTCCTGTCTAAGGGCAATGTGTGGTGTAAATACAGTGGACCCTCGACTAACGCTATTAATCCGTTCCTGAGAGCTCATCGTTAGTCAAAATAATCGTTAGTCAAGTTAATTTTCCCCATAAGAAATAATGGAAATCAAATTAATCCATGCAAGACACCCAAAAGTATTGAAAAAAAAAAAATTTTAACACATGAAATATTAATTTTAATACACACAAACTGAAGAAGACATGCACAGTTACATGACACTTACCTTTATTGAAGATCTGGTGATGATTGATGGGATGGGAAGAGGGGAGTGTGTTGATGGTCTTAGTGTTTAGAAGGGGAATCCCCTTCCATTAGGACTTGAGGTGGCAAGTCCTTTTTCGAGGTTACTTCCCTTCTTCTTTTAATGCCACTAGGACCAGCTTGAGAGTCACTGGACCTCTGTAGCACAACATATCTGCCCATAGAGGCCTGTACCTCCCGTTCCTTTATGATATTCCTAAAGTGTTTCACAACATTGTCAGTGTCACCATTAAACACTTGTTCAGGTTTCAGTCCTTCACTGTCTATGTACTCCTTGAATTCCTGCACATATTTTTCAGCTGCTTTTTGGTCCAAACTGGGAGCCTCACCATGCCTTATCACACTATGCATGCCACTACGATTCTTAAATCTCTCAAACCAACCTTTGCTGGCCTAAATTCACTCACATCACCACTAGTTGCTGGCATTTTTCTAATTAAATCGTCATGCAACTTCCTAGCCTTTTCACATATGATCGCTTGAGAGATGCTATCTCCTGCTATCTGTTTTTCGTTTATCCATACCAATAACAGTCTCAACATCTTCTATCACTTCCGATCTCAGTTTCAAAAACATAGTTGCACCTTTGGCAAGAACAGCTTCCTTGATTGCCATTTTCTTGGCCACAATAGTAGCGATGGTTGATTGGGGTTTTGTGTACAGCCTGGCCAGCTCGGAGACATGCACTCCACTTTCATACTTAGCAATGATCTCTTTCTTCATATCCATAGTAATTCTCACCCTTTTTGCTGTAGGGTTGGCACTAGAAGCTTTCTTGGGACCCATGGTGACTTATTTTTCAGGTGCAATCACTAAAAAGGCTGTGATAATGTGAAATGTTCCGATTGTATGCTTGGAAGCGACCGCTGTGGCTGGCTGGCTTGTAAACACTGGCCAGAAATGGACGCGTCTCAGACGGAACGAATAGTGTTGGTCGAGTTTTTTAGCGCTAATCGAGGCAAAATTTTTGCGATAAAATGTATCGCTAGTCAGATTTATCGTTAATCGATGCCATCGCTGGTCGAGGGTCCACTGTATTATGCAGAAAATTTGGAGTGTGGAAATTAGGAGGTGTGAAGTTAATAAAAGTATTAGTCAGAAGGCTGAAGAGGGGGTTGTTGAGGTGGTTTGGTCATTTTGAGAGAATGAATCAAAGTAGAATGACATGGAGAGCGTACAAATCTGTAGGGTAAAGAAGGCGGGGTAGGGGTCGTCCTCAAAAAGGTTGGAAGGAAGGGGTAATGGAGGTTTTGTGGGCGAGGGGCTTGGACTTCCAGCAGGCGTGCATGAGCGTGTTCAATAGGAGTGAATGGAGACGAATGGTATTTGGGACCTGACGATCTGTTGGAGTGTGAGCAGGGTAATATTTAGTGAAGGGATTCAGGGAAACCAGTTATTTTTATATAGCCGGACTTGAGTCCTGGAAATGGGAAGTACAATGCCTGCACGCTAAAGGAGGGGTTCGGGATATTAGCAGTTTGGAGGGATATGTTGTGTATCTTTATATGTATATGCTTCTAAACTGTTGTGTTCTGAGCACCTCTGCAAAAACAGTGATTATGTGTGAGTGAGGTGGAAGTGTTGAATGATGATGAAAGTATTTTCTTTTTGGGGATTTTCTTTCTTTTTGGGTCACCCTGCCTCAGTGGGAGATGGCCAACTTGTTAAAAAAAAAAAAATTGAGAGAACTGGTCTGTGCAGGGGTTGATCACCATTAAAAAAAAAATCCAGCCTCCACACAGTACATGATGGTAACATCTAACCTCTTACTGTGTGTGTAGATTACAATGGTAACACTGGTGCATTTTTTAGGGTTGTTTTTGTGGATTTATTGGCAGTTTCTTGGTGCCAACACATAGTCCAGTAGACATACTAGTGGTATGAGAAGTTTATTATCAGTTTAAGATAGGAAAGTAGCCTGAAATAGCCCTCAAAGTGGCAGACAAGCTGGTTTTAGCCAATTTTGCTGGGACCCTAAAACCTTGTTTCATGGGGTTTTAATAGATTTACATTAATTTCTGGAACGCCCTCAACCAACACCAAGCATTCTCGGTAATGGCTTATTAACTGAGAAATAGGGCAAAGCATCAACTCTGTGCGACTATGGATTCTAAATGAGGGCAAGCGTTATACAAGTGAGGCCTGGGTAAGGGGGGATGATTAATGAGAAGAGGGAAGGTTGCTTTAGTGTTGCAATACCTAGTGTTTTTGGACTCTTGTTTTTAAATTTTAATTAGTTGAAAATGTAAAATTGACCAAATTTTCTGAATTCTGGGCACTTGATAGGGTAGTTCTGGTCATTGAATGGACAGTTTCTTGTAATTAATGGATAGTACAGAACAAATGTTTGAGAAAAAATATAAAACTGTGTCAGTTTGAGCACAGGAACTGGGCTATAATAGACCTCACCATAGGTGATATCAAAACAGCAATTTCAACTTCATGCCTGCATAATTCCTTATATTTTATATCAAATTTTATGTTTTTATTGTCAATACCTTCAGAAGAAAGATGCTCTACCATTTTAGAAAAATAAAATCGCTTTTTAATGTGTTTCAAAGTTGCATACACAGAAGGGGCTTTCAATTTCAGGGGTGCGGACAGTTTAAAGTTCACTGGCATAGCAATATCTCACCTTTGTAACTGATGATACGATGAAACAATTTTCGATTAGCGGTAGCTGCAGTGAGGAGAGCCAGATGGACTTGCCCAGGGTGGTGAAAGAGCAGGTCTATTAAGAAACTACGACCCAGCTGCCACTGCTGAACTCCCCTCTCGTCTGGTATTGACATCGCTGCTGTATACCACAGGGCTAAACATGCCAAGCTGTGTGGCTAACCAAGAATAAATGATTACATTATTTTTTTTCTAACAAACTGGCCATCTCCCACCTTGGTAGGGTGACTCAAAATAAGAAGAAACACTTTTGCCATCATTCATTCCATCATTGTCTTGCCTGACGGGTGCCAATAACACAGTTCAAAACTGCAAATATTCCCACCCCTCCTCCAGAGTGCAAGCACTGCACTTACACACCTCTAGGACTCTAAGTTCGGCTAACCAGCCCCACTGAATCTTTTCATAAATGTTACTTTGCTCACACTCCAACAGCACATTATGGAATGATGATGATGAAAGGGGTCATACAAAATAAAGCAGATGCTCAGAAAAATAATGGGATAGAGAAATGTTTTACCACTACAGTAAAAGGACACAGTTGCAACTAATGCCACATTTATCTGTAGCAATATTTTGCTCTCCAGGAGCTTTGTCAAGCTGTGGTAATGTTCCACTCCTGAAGAGCAAAACATTGCCATAATGTCAAATTAATTTCAACTGTGTCCTTTTACCTAACACTTTATCAGTAATTCTACCATTATTACTACATTAGCCATCCTTATGAGGTCCATGCACCACTTAGCAGTCAAAAGCTTCTGTGAAAAAAAAAAAAATTGAAGAATTCTGGAAAAAAAAAACAGTGGAAGGATGTGTACCAGGTATACCTGTATGCTGGTGCAAGATGCTTTGAAACTGAACATTCTTAAGTGATCTTATAAGGAAAAAATTTGTTCTATGATGATGTCATCTTTTCCAAGACCAATGGGATTTCTGTTAAATTCTTTTTTTAACACACTGACTGTCTCCCACTGAGGCAGGGTCACCCAGAAAAGAAGAAACACTTTCATCATCACTCACTCCATCACTGTTTTGCCAGAGGGGTGCCAATACTACAGTTCAAAACTACAAATATCCCCACCCCTCCTTCAGAGTGCAGGCACTGCACTGTTACTATATTTTTTATTTAATATCAAAACCACATTTTTGACATTTAAAAGTACATATTACTAAAAAATCAATATTTAGTATCAATACGGAAGTCAAGAGTGTGAGCAGGTGGTACAGTAGTTGATACTGATATAATGGTTTAGTGTGTGGCAAGCCACAATTGAATGTTTGTTGTCCTCCAGTCAATTCTTTTTTTTTTTTTTTTTTTTTTTTTAGGTGGGGGAGCTTTGAATTTCTATTTCAAAGCTACCTATTGTTTCAAATGCATGATTCTTTAATATGAAGAATGAAGTGTTTTAAAATTAGATAAATGATAATTTGCAAAATTTTTACTAATTTGTGTACACAATTTAGAGTAAGAGGTAGATGGGAAAAGAGGAAAATGACAACAACAAGCAAGAAGGGAGGTGAAAGTGTATAAACTAAGGGAGGAGGAAGTTCGGGTGAAATAATAAGCAACTATTGGCAGAAAGGTGGGCTGGTGCAAGTATGAGTAGTGGGGGGTTGAAGAGGGTTGGAATAGTTTTAAAAATGCAGAATTAGGATGTGGGGCAGAAGTTTGTGGTTATAGGAGGGTGGGTGCAGGACGAAAGAGGAGTGATTGGTGGAATGATGAAGTAAAGGGTGTGATAAAAGACAAAAAGTTAGCTTATGAGAGGTTTTTACAAAGCATAAGTGTAATAAGAAGAGTAGAGTATATGGAGAGTAAAAGAAAGGTGAAGAGAGTGGTGACAGAGCACAAAGGGAGAGCAGTTGATAGAGTGGGAGAGGCACTTTCAAGAAATTTTAATGAAAATATGAAAAAATTTTGGAGTTAAACAAGTTAAGAAAGCCTAGAGAACGAGTGGATTTGTCAGTTAAAAACAGAGTAGGGAGTTAGTAGATGGGGAGATGGAGGTTTTGGGTAGATGGCAAGAATATTTTGAGGAACTTTTAAATGTCGACGAACAAAGGGAAGCGGTAATTTCATGCACGGGCCAGGGAGGTATACCATCTTTTAGGAGTGAAGAAGAACAGGATGTAAGTGTGGGGGAGGTGCGTGAGGCATTATGTAGAATGAAAGGGGGTAAACCAGCTGGAACTGACGGGATCATGACAGAAATGTTAAAAGCAGGGGAGGGGATATAGTGTTGGAGTGGTTGGTATTTTTGTTTAATAAATGTATGAAAGAAGGGAAGGTACCTAGGGATTGGCATAGAGCATATATAGTCCCTTTATATAAAGGGAAGGGGGACAAAAGAGATTGTAAAAATTATAGAGGAATAAGTTTACTGAATATACCAGGAAAAGTGTACGATAGGGTTATAATTGAAAGAATTAGAGGTAAGACAGAATGTGGGATTGCGGATGAGCAAGAAGGTTTCAGAGTGGGTAGGGGGTGTGTAGATCAAGTGTTTACATTGAAGCATGTGTGTGAACAGAATTTAGATAAAGGTAGGGAAGTTTTTATTGCATTTATGGATTTAGAAAAGGCATATGATAGAGTGAATAGGGGAGCAATGTGGCAGATGTTGCAAGTATATGGAATAGGTGGTAAGTTACTAAATGCTGTAAAGAGTTTTTATGAGGATAGTGAGGCTCAGGTTAGGGTGTGTAGAAGAGAGGGAGAATACTTCCCAGTAAAAGTAGGTCTTAGACAGGGATGTGTAATGTCACCATGGTTGTTTAATATTTTTATAGATGGGGTTGCAAAAGAAGTAAATGCTAGGGTGTTCGGGAGAGGGGTGGGATTAAATTATGGGGAATCAAATACAAAATGGGAATTGACACAGTTGCTTTTTGCTGATGATACTGTGCTTATGGGAGATTCTAAAGAAAAACTGCAAAGGTTAGTGGATGAGTTTGGGAATGTGTGTAAAGGTAGAAAGTTGAAAGTGAACATAGAAAAGAGTAAGGTGATGAGGGTATCAAATGATTTAGATAAAGAAAAATTGGATATCAAATTGGGGAGGAGGAGTATTTAAGAAGTGAATGTTTTCAGATACTTGGGAGTTGACGTATCGGCGGATGGATATATGAAGGATGAGGTTAATCACAGAATTGATGAGGGAAAAAAGGTTAGTGGTGCAATGAGGTATATGTGGAGACAAAAAATGTTATCTGTGGAGGCAAAGAAGGGAATGTATGAAAGTATAGTAGTACCAACACTCTTATATGGGTGTGAAGCTTGGGTTGTGAATGCAGCAGCGAGGAGGCGGTTGGAGGCAGTGGAGATGTCCTGTCTAAGGGCAATGTGTGGTGTAAATATTATGCAGAAAATTCGGAGTGTGGAAATTAGAAGGTGTGGAGTTAATAAAAGTATTAGTCAGAGGGCTGAAGAGGGGTTGAGGGGGTTTGGTCATTTAGAGAGAATGGATCAAAGTAGAATGATGTGGAGAGCGTATAAATCTGTAGGGAAAGGAAGGCAGGGTAGGGGTCATCCTTGAAAAGGTTGGAAGGAAGGGGTAAGGGAGGTTTTGTGGGCGAGGGGCTTGGACTTCCAGCAGGCGTGCATGAGCGTGTTTGATAGGAGTGAATGGAGATGAATGGTATTTGGGACCTGACAATCTATTGGAGTGTGAGCAGGGTAATATTTAGTGAAGGGATTCAGGGAAACCGGTTATTTTTATATAGCCAGAATTGAGTCCTGGAAATGGGAAGTACAATGCCTGCACTCTAAATGAGGGGTTTGGGATATTGGCAGTTGGAGGGATATATTGTGTATTTTTATACGTATATACTTCTAAACTGTTGTATTCTGAGCACCTCTGCAAAAACAGTGATTATGTGTGAGTGTGGTGAAAGAGTTGAATGATGATTAAGTATTTTCTTTTTGGGGATTTTCTTTCTTTTTGGGTCACCCTGCCTCGGTGGGAGACGGCCGACTTGTTAAAAAAAAAAAAAAAAAAAACTGATGCAAATACTGAAGTTACAGTCACATAAAAAAATGTGTATATATTTTGTGCAAAAAAAATTAACCTGGGATGACTTACAGTTAGCATTGTTTTTTTAGACACCAGGTTTTTCAGTCTTGCCATATCAAAAAAAATGAGTTTAAAAATTTTATCATTTTTTTTTTCAACTAATATTCAAGTGGGAAGCACAATGCCTGTACTCTAAAGGAGTTTGGGATATCTGCTGTTTACTGTGACATCTAAACTGTCGTATCTGGACCCCTCTGGCAAGACAGTGACAGTGAAAAATGATGGAGAGTGCGTTTCTTTCTTAGAGTCACCCTGCCTCGGTAGGAGACGGCCAGTATTAAAAAAAAAAGATATTATTCACTAAGTGATGAATAGTTTTGAAAACCGACAAGTTTTCAAAAACCATTCAAGCCGCTAAGTGTCTTAATTCTTCACATTCACTGAAAAAAAATCATAAAATAAAGCAGTTGTCATTTATTACTTGGGCCCCTTAATATAAATCATAAAATTTCTAAGTTTTATAAAATTCTAAGCAGTTCATAAATATAAAATGTACAAAATATGCTGGCTATTTTACTGTGATGTGAGAGTTACACCAAAGTGTATATGCAAGTTGACTCAGAAAACACAACATTCCCGGTTTTACACTACACAGGAGGGTTCCGCTCTACAGTGCTTCACTTTACAGCAATTTGCTAATACAGCAGTTTTCAATTATAGCCATTCTTCACTTGTTCAGACTGCCTACAAAAAATAAATTCACCACTCACTATAAGCTTGTATATGCATCTGAAAGTAAAAAAAAAAAAAAGGCTGTTTCACTTTACAGCGATTTCACTTTACAAAAGTAGCCCGAAACCTGACCTGCTGTATAAGTGGAGCCCTCCTGTATGTGGGTAGGTACTGTCTGCCCTTGCTAGGGAATTAACATACAAGTACAGTGGACCCCCGCATAACGATTACCTCCAAATGCGACCAATTATGTAAGTGTATTTATGTAAGTGCATTTGTACGTGTATGTTTGGGGGTCTGAAAGGAATAATCTACTTCACAATATTTCTTATGGGAATAAATTCGGTCAGTACTGGCACCTGAACATACTTATGGAGTGAAAAAATATCGTTAACCGGGGGTCCACTGTAATCATTATGCAGATTTATAAAATGAATTATCCAGTATTTAGTACACTCAAAATATACTAGTATTAATATATACAATTTTCAATACAATATCCATAATGCCAATTAAATCTTCTTTAACTTCCTATGTGTTTTTCACTAAACATGCAAAGGAAACTTCCACGAGGAAGTGGAGAAGAATCCTTCCTCTGTAAGCCATGTGTTTTGTAAGAGGCGATTAAAATACCGGCAGCAGTAACCCCTTCTCTTGTATAATTACTAAATGTAAAAAGAGGTGTTTCTTCTTTTTTGGGGGGTTACCCTGCCTCGGTGGGAGACGAATGGGGAGTTGAAAAAAGTTCAGTATAATATCCATAATGCCAATTAAATCTTTTATAACTTCCTATATGTTTTTCACTAGATGTGCCGAGGAAAACTCCACAATGGCCAAACTTACCCGTAAGTTCAGAGATGGTTTACAGACAAGGTTGTGCACAGTTCTTGAGCTCAGTTTTATAAGAGAGAGTGGTGGAAGCTTCAACCGTACCTCCACGATACACACCGCCTGAAACAGCTTGTACAGTGAAGGAGGGAGGCTTCCTTGCATTTCCCTCATCTCATTAGGATCAGCTTCAAGGATGCACTCAATCACATTTCTGCAAACAAACATAGTATTTGAGTCTGGCTCTGTGTAATCATTAAGTACTGTATAGTCAGTCAATAATATTACAGTAAACTAATCTATTAACTATTAACCCACAATTTGGAGTGACTTGAATGACCCAGGATTGGCCAGAAATATTGTCCAGTTTCTTCTCCAGACAGTTTTTCAGTCTGGCTCTGTGTAATCATTAACCCCATAACTGTCTAAACATAGATCTACGTTCTTACCACTAGCACTCCAAACGTACAGTGGACCCCCGCATAACGATCACCTCCGAATGCAACCAATTATGTAAGTGTATTTATGTAAGTGCGTTTGTACGTGTATGTTTGGGGGTCTGAAATGAACTAATCTACTTCACAATATTCCTTATGGGAACAAATTCGGTCAGTACTGGCACCTGAACATACTTCTGGAGTGAAAAAATATCATTAACCGGGGGTCCACTGTATATCAATGTTTTATTTTTCATGCCTCCAAATTTGTCACGATTGGCCTGAGATGCCTGGTCAGCAAAGAATGGGTCTTAATCCTCAGTGTGTGCAGTATTAAAAAAAACTGGGAACACTTAGTACCTTGTGGGAGCACCAGTTCAATTAAGCCCCAGCTAGAGCAAACAGCGCGGCAAACACCAAGGATTCACTGATGTCATGTCGTATTAACATTCCCCTTTTAAGAGGAAAGTGATGTTGACCCCGAGTTTAGTGGCTTTGAGGTGGATGTGGCCACAAGCGGTCGCGGAAATATCAAAACCCTCGATAATAACCCATGTGCAACATCTGTGCAACACCCTTTTAATTTTGGTACCACTGGTAGTGTCATCCTGCTAGAATGTCTTACAACCTATGCCCTAAGTAAAAAAAAAAAAAAATTCTGGAACATGTAATACATGTTCGGCAAACTGGCTGGCCAGCTGGTTGGCCGGTGGCTGGCTGATTGACTGTCTCTATCTCTGTCTGTCTGGCTGTATCTATTTCTATCTCTTTCTCTGTATCTCTGTCTCTATCTCATAGGAACACACAAAATTATACATAGTGTAAATTACCTAGGATAACCCAAAAAATCCAGACAAAGTGCTATATTGTGCTTGTAGATATCATGCAGACATGAACGTGTGTAATACCAGTTGCTTCATGAGCAAATCTCTGAGACAAGAGAGACAAGCAGACAAAAAGACAGACACACAGAGAGCTAGACAGACAGAGAGACCTAGACAGAGAACTAGACAGAGACAGCTAGACAGAGAGCTTGACAGACAGATAGAGAGCTAGACAGACAGACAGACAGACAGACAGAACAGACAATATTTATGTGTAACAGGGAAAACATACAAAACCAAGGCGGCAGTGTACGTTCATCAAAAGTCACCACTGCTGCACTGTCAGCAGTGGAGTGACACACGTCTTACAACATATTTCAAGGGAACTTTTATTATTATTATTATTATTATTATTATTATTATTATTATTATTATTATTATTATTATTATACACTCCTGCATATCTAAAACATTGCTGGGACCTATAAATACTATGCATATATTTCTAGACAATAGTATGTGACTAAGGTAGGTGAAAATGTTCACCTGTCAATGTTCACTGTCAATGTTCACTGTCAATGTTCACTGTCACTGTGTTTGTGACTACTTGAGTACTTTATCAGTACCTAATATTAGTGTCAGAACAAAGATTTACTATGAAATTACAAGAACTACTACAAACTGTAATTATTAAAACAAAAATTATACAAATTAAAAAAAAATGAGAAAAAAAAGGTATATCGGCAACACTTCTGCAGGCGGCAGTACTTCATGTTGCCATCAGGTGAGCAACAAGCGCTGACTTTGTGGCCTTATATCTCCATAAGTACTGACTCTTCATTTAAAAAAAAAATTTTTTTTTTTAAACCCTTAAACGATCCAAACGTATACACCTACCATCCGACTTACGACCGAGTTCGGTTCCGAGAAACTGGTCGTAAGTCGAAATGGTCGTAAGTCGAACTTTACTACTGAATATCAACAAAACATTTTTGTAATGACTTTATTTTATTGTTTTATTTTGGTATTTCATGTTTTACTTTATTTTTTATGTTGTTAGTACTGTATTTTATACTGTAAGGTTTAGGATAAACACTGTGTACAACACAAATAGTTGTTTATTTCCCAGAAATTTGGCATAAAACACACGGTCGCAAGTCGAGTGGTCGTAAGTCGAGCAGGTCATAAGTCGGATGGTAGGTGTATATACGTTCTCTCGTGTAGTGCCCCAAACGTATACAGTGGACCCCCGCATAACGATTACCTCCAAATGCGACCAATTATGTAAGTGTATTTATGTAAGTGCGTTTGTACGTGTATGTTTGGGGGTCTGAAATGGACTAATCTACTTCACAATATTCCTTATGGGAACAAATTCGGTCAGTACTGGCACCTGAACATACTTCTGGAGTGAAAAAATATCGTTAACCGGGGGTCCACTGTATATACGTTTCCTTTGTCATTCATTCAATGTTGGCACGATATGCCTGAGTCACCTAGACATGAGAGAATGAGTGTGTGTACTCAGTGTGCGCCATATGAAAAAAATTGGGGATGCCTGGGTACCAAATGCTCTTTTTTCCTATTTAAAAAAAAATTTCTCTCAAAATATACGGGGCACTGTGCGAGTGAACATATATATACAGTGGAACCTCAAAAATCAAACGTGTCACATATCGAACGTTTTGAAAATAGGACCCTTTTTTCGGACAAACTGTGTCCCTATTATTAAACGCGCCCCTATTTTCGCACCGCCTGGTACGGGACCTGTCCGCAAGCCTGCTCTGTCCGTGTCCCCGCGCAGGCGCCATGAGCAGTCTAGCTTTGTTTATGCTTGAGTGAACCCTAACCTGCGCTCTCATTCACCCATTTTACGATTATTTCATTGTGTTTAGTGCTTGTGGGACTGTGAAATAAGCTGCCATGGGCCCAAAGAAACTTGTTAGTGGTACCCCAAACTGAAACAAAATAAGTCCCCGGGACCCGATGAGTTGTTTTCAAGGGTACTTAAGGAATGCAAGATGGAGCTTAGTCAGCCATTAACGAGTGTATTCAATGCGTCCATCCTTACCAGTGTTGTGCCAGAGATGTGGAAGATGGCTAATGTGGTTCCTATATTCAAATCAGGGGATAAGTCCACTCCTTCAAATTACCGTCCAATAAGCCTGACATCTATAGTGGGCAAGTTATTAGAATCAATTATAGCTGACATTATCAGAAGTCACCTTGAAGAGCATAACTTGATAAATGAATCTCAGCATGGATTCACGAGAGGTCGTTCCTGCCTGACAAACTTACTGACGTTCTTCAATAGAACATTTGAGGCAGTTGACAGTGATAAGGAATATGATATTGTTTATTTGGATTTTAGTAAAGCCTTCGACAGAGTACCTCACAAGAGACTCTTAAGAAAAGTGGCAGCTCATGGTATAGGAGGTAAAGTTCTAGCATGGATTGAGGCATGGCTTACCAATAGAAAGCAGAGAGTTACCATTAATGGAGTGAAATCTGAATGGGGATTAGTCACTAGTGGCGTTCCACAAGGATCAGTTTTAGGCCCTCTCTTGTTCATAATTTACATTAATGACCTTGATAAAGGGATTACTAGTGACATGAGTAAGTTTGCTGATGATACAAAGATAGGCCGTATAATTCACTCTGAGGAGGATATCAATGAACTCCAGGACGATTTGAACAAATTAATGTCTTGGTCCGAAAAATGGCAGATGAAGTTTAATGTGGATAAGTGTAAGGTACTTGCCCTTGGTAATGAAAATAACCCTCGAAGCTATAATCTAGGTGAAGTAGAGCTTGGTCATACAGAATGTGAAAAAGACTTGGGAGTCATGGTAAGCAGAAATCTAAAGCCAAGACAGCAGTGCCTTAGTGTGCGCAACAAGGCCAACAGATTACTTGGATTTATCTCAAGAAGTATAAGTAACAGAAGTCCAAAAGTTATTTTACAGCTCTATACATCACTAGTGAGGCCTCATTTAGATTATGCTGCTCAGTTTTGGTCCCCTTACTACAGGATGGACATAGACTCATTAGAGAACATACAGAGAAGAATGACTAAAATGATTTACTGTGTAAGGAACCTCCCGTATGAAGATAGACTTAAAGCCTTAAATCTCCACTCTCTGGAGAGGCGTAGAATGAGGGGAGATATCATTGAAGTGTATAAGTGGATGACGGGCATAAACAAGGGAGACATTAATAAAGTACTGAGGGTGTCGAACCAGGTAAGAACCAGGAATAATGGATTTAAATTGGATAAATTTAGATTTAGAAAGGACATAGGTAAGTACTGGTTTTCTAACAGAGTTGTAGATGCGTGGAACAGTCTTCCCAGTGGGGTGATAGAGGCTAGGACCTTGGGTAGCTTTAAGAAGAGACTGGACAAATATATGAGTGGGAGGGGCTGGGTTTGATTGGTGTTGGGGGGTGCGGGAGTTGTTTCTTGAGTAGCTTTAGGTAGATGTCGTTTAGATAAGGACCTGCCTCGTATGGGCCAGTAGGCCTTCTGCAGTGTTCCTACATTCTTATGTTCTTATGTTCTTAAAGAAAGTGAGAAACACCATAAATGTGAAGAAGGAAATAATACAGAAGTATGAGAGTGGAATGATGTTCAAATGTTTGTGGAGAAGTACCACCCTGAGCAAGCTGAAACAAGCCATCTTTGCAATAAGTTCAGTGACAGAACCATGTCCCATTTTAGGGAAATGTTAAAGAGGCGCCAGAAACAGAGGACTGTGGACAGTTATTTTGTGAGACAGGGGTCCAGTGACTCAAGCTGGTCCTAGTGGCATTAAAAGACAGAGAAGGGAAGTAACCCCAGAGAGGGCTTTACCTGAAGTCTTCATGGAGGGGGATTCTCCTTCCAAACACTAACCCCAACTCCCTCTCTCCTCCTCCCTATCTTCCAGATGCCATCACCAATCTTCAATAAAGGTAAGTAAAAATGTTATTTTATATGTATTACTATACATAATTAAAAACTATAGTATTTGTTGTATGTAAAACTGTAATTAATCTCTATAAAATGTATTTTTTGTGTGAATATTTTTGGGTTTCTGGAATGGATTAATTGTATTTCCATTATTTCTTATGGGAAATATTGCTTCGAATTTCAGACTTTTCGAATTTAGAACTAGCTCCTGGAACAGATTAAGTTAAAAATTTGAGGTTCCACTGTACGTTTGGACCATTTAAAGGTTAAATATTCAGAGCACTGGGCGAGTGAATGTAGATCTATGGTTGGACAGTTAAGGGGTTAAATACTGTATATACATTCAGTCAATAATAAACAGATTTATTAACTATTAACCCACAACTTGGTGTGACCTGAATGGTCCAGGAGTGGCCAAAATATTGTCCAGTTTCTTCTCTAAATTATGGGTTTAATTTTTTTTTACCTCAACAGCCGTCTCCCACCAGGGCAAGGTAGCCCAAAGAAGGATACACAATCACCATCAATCATTCAATTGCTATCTTGCTATAAATGTGCTGACATCACAATTCAGATCACTCTCTGGCTGCAATATCCCCACCCTTATTATTAATTTCACATTCATGTAGAGAACTAAACCTATAAGCATCATACAGCACCTGGGAGAATGTGACTTGACAGACACTTGGTCAAGTCACAGTATTGTTACTTTTAGTCCTTAACCTTTTGACTGTCGCAACCCCAAATCCTGAGGTGTCTCCTGGTGTCGCAAAATATTTGGAAAAAAAAAATTATTTTTTCTTTTGAAATGATAGAGAATCTTTTCCCGATGGTAATGACACCAAAAGTATGAAATTTGATGGAAAACTTACGGAATTACGCTCTCACGAAGTAAGCAACCTCGGCGATATTAACGAATCGGCGATTTTGTCCACTTTGAGCCTTATTTTCGGCTAATTCCATTGTTCCAGTCGACCAAATTCATGGCTATTTCTTTAGAACTCCATTTTTTCTGTCGATTGAGTACAAGAAACTGCCCATTTACCAATTTCAACTACCCAATAAAGTGGTCAGAAATTGGCAATTTGGCCAATTTCACGAAAATTAAAAAATATGACAATTTCAAAATAGGGTCCAGAATGAACAATGCAGACATTCCTGGCTCTAAAATAACATTTTCTTTGTTCATCAGTCACATCTCCAGGCCCCTCTGATATTACTCTTGCTTCCTATTTTGAATTTTTATTCAAACAAAAAATAGAAGATTTCCTGTTGTGCAGACTACTGCAACATTGTAATAATTGCATAAATAATGTCAACCCATTCATGACTGCATATTAGAATGGCGAGTTGGACATTTATTAGACAATGATGTCATTTGTTTACTATTGAACATCGGCAAAAATCAAACATTTCCCCTACTCTGAGCTCCATATCAAGGTCCTTTTCATAGTAAAACCAATCAAAATCATCTCCATTTCTATAATATGTTTTCCATTCTATCAAACATGGCTACGAAAACGAGAATATAACCATAAAAACTATACGAAAATACCCCTCAATGTCGGCGTTTTAATCCAAAAACACGGTGGGAGTTTTTTTTTCTCATTATGCACTGCGTACATCAGGATTTTTTTATACTGCGCACACTGACCACACAAACCCATTCTCTCACATGTGGGCCTACCAGCTTTCTCCCGCTTGATTTGAAGCCGCTAGAATTTTTGAGTATACAGTAGACCGTTATTTAACACGGTAGTTACGTTCCTGAAAACAACGTGTTAGGTAAAACCGTGTTAGATGAACTGAAGAACTTATGGAGAAAATAGGGTTACGTTCCTGAGAGCCCCAAAAAAGCCAAACAACTTTTTTTAGACCTAAACATCTTAGAAAAATAAAAGTGAATATGTAATTGTAGTTCATTGTAATGTATTATGTTGTTTTTACTGCTTAAGATTACAAATGTAACAGAAATAATAGTATTTCTTACCTTAACCCGTCAACAGTCCAAGCAGATCTACGTTCACATGTGTAGTGCTACAAAAGTAGATCGAAGTTTTTTTTACATATTTTCAAATATAACAAAAAGAAAAAGTAGATCAAAGTTTTTTTTACACATCTTCAAATGCAGAAAAACAAAAAGAAGATCTACTTTTTTTTACATACATTCAAATGTTGAAAAAACGCATATATACGTTTGGACCGTTTACGGGTTAAATTGTGGGTGCTGGTGTTTGTGGATGATTGTGAAGAGAGTGGAGAGTTATGCTGTGGCCCTACTGAGGTGGATGGTAGAGGTTCTGGTACTGAAGTTGATGGTTGTACTGGAGTGTCTAACTTTGTCATTCAGTCAATCAAGTCATTCAGTAAATCAGTCAAGTCATTCAATAAGTCAGTCAAGTGATTTAGTAAGTCAGTCAAGTGATTCAGTAAGTCAGTCAAGGGATTCAGTAAGTCAGTCGAGTAATTCAGTCAAGTGATTCAGTAATTCAGTCAAGTCATTCAGTAAGTCAGTCAAGTCATTCAGTAATTCTGTCAAGTCATTCAGTAATTCTGTCAAGTCATTCAATAAGTCAGTCAAGTCATTCAGTAAGTCAGTCAAGTCATTCAGTAAGTTAGTCAAGTCATTCAGTCAGTCAGTCAGTCATTCAGTAAGAAGTCAGTCAGTCAGTCACTAAGTCAGTCACACAAACTTATGTTTACCTTTTCTTATGTGTACAGAGTAACACTTCATTATGGCCACAGGATGTCTTGTCTAATATCTTTGTTTCCTTCGTTAATTCTAATACTTAAATGTTTACACCTTTTCTTGCCACTTTGAGCAACACTGGTATGCTTACTGGGTGTCATGATTGTTTGGTAGATACAAGATATAGCAATTAAAAGATCAAAACACAATTCACAATCATAAGCTTGTAGCAGAGAAGTTGGACTGGACACATATGAAGTACGAATGCTACGTTGGTAGGGTGGTGTTGGGGGGGTGGCTGGGGACAGCGGGAGGTCTCCCCCGCAAACTGAACCTGTTAAATTCATCGTACGATGTGTTACATAAAATTGTGCCGCAATTCTTCAATCGTGCTATACTCAAATTGTGCCAAATAAACTCGTGCTAAATAATGGTCTACTGTGTATACATCAAACACATTGGCTCGTAAGACATATATATACGACCGAAACAGTCAAAGGGTTAAACTTGTCTACCAGTATGTGTCAATAAAGCTATCTCAGTATAATATAAGATTTTTCTTACGCTGGGGAAGTGGAGAAGAATCTTTCCTCTGTAAGCCACGTGTATTGTAAGGTGATTAAAATGCCAGGAGCAAGGGGCTAGTAATAGCATCTGTATAAATCACTAAATGTAAAAAGAAGAAAAACCTAGATAACAAGTTTACACTTACATATATTAAGTTAGCAATAGAACTAGGCATCAAAATCAATAAAAAAGTACAATACACACATAGTGCACTCATTACTTACCTTAAAATATTTGTAGTCTTAATCTAGGGTGAGACAAGTAGTATTTATTGTAAGAAATCAAGTGTGGTATGTATGGTAGTCAGCCGGGCTACCATACCAGGCCACATAATATTCTATTACATTTAAGCATCCCAGACCTGGAATAACCTCCAGGTAACCTCCAGGTGTGTATGGTAGTCAGCTGGGCTACCATACCAGGCCAACCCACCCACACATACTATTCTATGATATTTAAGCATCCCAGAGCGATAAAATGTATATACAGTTCACTCATTACTTACCTTAAAATATTTGTAGTCTTAATGTAGGGTCAGGAGTAAGTAAATGAGATAAAACGAATAAATGAGAGAGAGTGAGAATGAGTGCATGAGGGAGAACAGGCGAAGAGTTATGTAAACACACCAGGTGAAGATAAGTTTTGTAAACAACAAAGTGTACACATTTGGTTTGTGTACAAGTTACATTGTGTACAAGCTGTCTCTACATTGATACGGTAGAATAAATAAAGAACACTCCCATTCACATGTAACATCATTTTGAGAAGAAATGACGCTCTGAGTGAAGGCAATGGAAATAAGTCACTCTGACTTTTTTTGGTTATCCTAGGTTCTCTACACATATGCTGTTATGTATGATAATCTATGCAACTGTATTTGTGTATACCTGAATAAACTTACATACATACAAAAGGAATAATTTTCTACAGTTACCCCCTGTAACACATTTTCTCTCATGTTAGATTATATAAAATGTTATTCTTGCCATCACTTGTGCAAGTTATCTGGCTACCACATCTCATATTTATGTTTATTTATTTTTACTGTGGGGTGTATTTATCTCTTTATATGTTATGCATCGTGTTTATTATATAATTTTGAAAACATATATAGATGGATTAATGAAAATGTGTATATTAACGTAATATAGGGACATTAAATGAGACTCAGTGATTATTATTATCATTACTAATATGACGTCTGGAGACATAAGAGATTCTTACTGATTTTAATGTGTATCTGCATGCCAGGACAGTATGTAAGTTTATTTAGGTACAGGTATACATAAGTATAATTATCAGAGTATATATAAAATAAGAAATAACTTTTAAAAACACTTGAAATTTTGGAGTTTCCAGACAAAATGAAGAGACTTATTGCTTACGGATCTCACAGAGAATGTAAACAAACCGAGTGGGGCACAGTGACCGTATTAGAAAGTCAGGTGGGGGGAGCTGTATAGCGAGTTTTGGTCATAATTTGAAATGACCGTATTAGCGGAACACCGTAAAGCGAAACCCCGTAAAGCGGGGCCCTACTGTATAGTGTACTGATTACCATTTCCACCTTTCTCGGCACGATTAACAACTCACCTTATTAAAGGCACAAGTGTAGCAGTTGTGAGTGAATCACACAGATTATCGATAGAAGTGCACCACAGTCGGGATTTGATCTTATATGAAAGTAAGTCTTTAAGAGCTTCCAAAAAGTTGTCATCTGGAAATATAAGATAAAACCTTGAGACACTTGTGTAACATTTGGGTATCTGTATTCTGTAAACGTTTTGCCAGCCAGTGGTTTCTTCAGTCCAATGCAGGGAAACATGGAAGATGAGGAGGAGTTTGAAGTACATAATCAGCCCCTCAGCCAGGCTGAGGAAGAAACCATTGGCTGGCAAGATATTTCTAGAATTAAGATATCTAGATGTTGCACAAGTGTCTCATCAACTTGTCAGTTTTCTAAACCATTTATTCACAAGATAAAACCATGTATATATACATGTATGTGTTGCTGTGTATAAATAAAGGTTATATTAGTCTTCATCTTTGTTGTTTAAACATAAGTGGCAATTCTATAATGACAACTACAGCTAGGTTTCGATTAGTGCAAATAATAAAACCCATCAAGTGGTCACAACATTCGAACTTGCACTTCTCAAATTATATGCAGTTTTTAAACATGATTTGAAGAGTTTGGGGGGGAAAACTAGCATCATATAATTTTGAACTGAATCAAAATTAGCATTGATTGAACTGGCACTAATCCAGACCTGGCTGTATCACACAATAACCTACCACTGTAGTACTTCCTTAATTTATAATACAGTTTATAGCATTTCTTTATACTGAAGAATATTAACCACACATATATATTATATAAACATTAAGTTTAATTTAAATAAAACACAGGAATCTGCTTTTATTACTAACCTTGCTCCTCTTGTGGTGGAGTTTCAAGACTGCACAGCTCCTTGAGTGAAATTTGGACTTGATCTAGAGGTAAATTTTGGTTCTGCCTCGTTGCTGCATGGTGCCCACCTGGCCTATTTAGTCCAGGGCCTCTCTTCTCATTGCTGAACTGAACTGGTGCTGGTGTTGGCTGGACACAACTCTGCTTTTGCATTTGTGATTTATTTCCATTAGGTTCTAACGTTTCGTGTGAAAGTGATGTTCCCAATAGCACTGGTGCTGATTGCACATTGACTCTGCAATCACTAGGGCCTGAAGAATGAGAAGAGTCAGGAAAGAGCTTCTGACAGCCAACTGTGCTTGACAGTTGACTCTGCAAGCCATCATGGCTACCATAGAGACTTGGCGGCTGAACAAAATTTCTATCATTATTTTGTTTGCTTGTTTCATGTGGTAAACTAAAATTCATGTGTAACATTTTAGAATCAGACTGCTCAGCATCTCTATTCTTCCTAGGTTTCTTTCTATATAATTTACTTTTCTTACTGAAGGATTTGTTTCAGCAAGTGTTACATTATTTGCATAAGATGATGTTGCAACACTAAAATTTGTTCTAACATCTTTGGCCATATTTTCATTCACAATATTCCACTTGGGACATTCACTCTTCTTTGAAAAAAGACTGTCAACAAAGCCAGAAGATGCTGGTACAGGAACATGTGGGGGTGACGAGGCGGGTGCTGGTTTAGGCTTTGGTTTAACTCTAGGCCTATCCAGAGTTCCTAGTCTTGCAAGGGAACCCACTAAACCAGGGTGTGATACTTTTGCAGGTTCATCCTTAATTGGAGCAGCAACCTCTCTTTTGGTTAATCTGTTTGTGTACTGAGCATTATTCTTTGACTCATTTTCCTGCAGTGTACTCTCATTATTACCCAAAACCTCATCCTTCAAACCATCAATCTGAAGTTCCCCTTCACTGTCATCAGTATTACTGAAACAAGACTCTGGCAACAATTTAACTTTGTGTTTCACAGGTGTTTCTTTTTGGCCTCTTAACTTTTCAGATGTTACTGCTTCACATGACGGTTGAACAGGCGTTGCCTCATCTTGGGATATTGCTCGTTGATCTCCATTTTTCTGAGGTGTTGCTAATTTCTCTCTCTTGTGTGTTTCTGGAGTTGTTTCACGACTGTCTTTGTGCTTTATAGGTGTATTTCCCAAACTGGTAAGGCTCGTTTTTCTTTGTCGCTTTGGCAAGCCTCTTGGCGATGTTTCCAGCAGTATTGCTGCACGTTTCTTGTCCTGATTCTTCGTGTGAGCTGCTCTTAACCTTGATGCTATTTGAAATGCACTTTCCTTTGGCAAAATATCAGATTCTTTTTCGTACTTTCCTGACAAATTTTTAATTGCTGGCATTTCCTCGTCACTACATGTTTCCCTACCCACTGCAGACACTTCAGGCTCATGAGCACTATCTAAACCATTTACAGAACCTGGCTGATTCCTGAAAGATACAGCCTTTAATTTAGTATCATTATTTAATTTAGTATTACTTGATTCTCTAGACTGTGTGTTTACTTCCACCATATTTTCACTTAGTTTATTCTCAGTCATCTTATTTGTAATTCTATCTGACTCGGTTTTCTTTTTAAGAGTATATTTTTCCCTCCTTATAGGGGACACACAAGATGTTGCTAATTCTAATTCATCAGAGTCACTTGCCACAACGTTTGAAACATTTTGCCTCTTTAAATTTTTAATAGTGTCATTAGAATAAGATGAGCTTTCAGAATCTGAAGATGCTAACTGACACACACTTTTCATTGTAGGTCTTTGTTTTCTGTAAACAGTGTCCTCTTCAACTGCATTCAAAACTGGCTTAGCTGAAATTTTCTGGCTACTCTGAGAATTTATTTGTTTAGCAAATGGCTTTTCAACCTTGGGTCGTTGAATCTTAGTTTTCTTGGAGATGTCACAATCACTGGAAGAAAATTCTTGACAGCTGCTGCTGTCATCGCTACTTTCTGAGTGGCTGTCGCTCTTGATTGTACTCCGTTTAACGTCTTTTACTGGGTTATATTTCACTCTCCTTCCTCTACTTCTCTGGGCACCATCTATCCTTTTTCTTTTCTTCGATTTTAGTTTTTGTCCTTTGGATACTGGTGATGAATTTTCTAGACAACTGCTCTCACTTTCAAACAATGATTTTAAGGTTCGTCTTTTGGGTGGGCGTATCCCTGTAGCCGGTCTGATTCTGGAAACTCTATGCGATTTATCAAATGAAGCAGGCAGTGGTCTTTTTTCTTTATTTTCCTCTTTCGTTGACTTTATAAATTTGTGTTGTGCTGCTTTTCTCAGAGAAATATTAATTTCATCACCTTCCCTACCCATGGTTTCCAAGACATTACTTTTGCTTTTAACGTTTTTATGGTTAATTCCTCGTTTTATGATTTGACAATCATTGTTTTCTTTCTGCATTTCTCTACAATCTACATTAGTGTCAGTCCTGTATGCATCTCTACCTTCCACCATACAAAGACCAGCTTTTTTGCGTTTCCAAATTCGGGTTTCTAGTGAAAATATATCAAGGGTCTGGCTACCATACAGATCTCGAACAAAATTCTTTAGTTTGCTCTTCCAAAAAAATTTTACTCTTTTCGTTAAAGAAATCATGGGAGATATTCGTGATTTAGGCCCCCAACTAAACACCACCTTTTTTGACTGACTAGCAAGGTTACAAAAAACTTTCGTTTCTTCGTGGTCCTTTGTTTTAGCTGACTTTAACTCTAGTAAGTTTTCTTTAGTGTTATCTGACTCAGGTTGTGGTGTAGCTTTCACTCCTTGACCAAGCAACTCTTCCTTATACAATGACAGTGCTTCATGACTCTTATCAGTACTCAGTGCGAAAGAGCAACCTTCACCATACAGTGAATCATTATTTTGAACACAAGAAAACCCAACACTTTTCCTTTTAGAAGGTTGGAATATTTGTTTTAACTTCTCTTGATTAGCTAACTTTTTCTTTTCTGATTCTGCAATTCTAGTGCTGCTCCTTCTCCTGCGCCTTTTTGTCTGTATGTTATCATCTGTTTCACTGTCAGCCTCAATATTGTCTTCAACATTCACAGCAGATAGTTCATATTCTGTCTCAAGGTTTTTTCCTTTTACAACAACTGTTTTTGTTTTTTGTACAGTGTTACCAGAACACAAATCATCCTTCTCAATACTATCATTATTTATAACCAATTTGTCATTGCTCTTATCGCTGACCAAAAATTCATGCTGTATTTTTTTCTTGGATGGGGAAGAAACATTAACTTTCTCGGGGCTGCAGGACCTGCTTCTGAGACCACATGTTTTGTTGGAATATATTACACAATTAGCCTCTTGCTTGTTCCTCTTCCCATCTGCAGTGTTGTTACTGGAGACTCGTAGTGAGTCAAATTCAAGAGTCATCCCACAGTTCAAATCAAGTGTCACATTATCAGGTAAGGGGTGTAACATATTCTCCTTTGTACTCTCCATAACCCAACCGGAAGACTTGTTATCCTGAACATGTTCACTTCTAAATACATTTAAATTGGAATTACACATATTTGATGTACTGTTCACAATGTGACCAGCAGAGACCTTATCCTGTTCATCAGCAGAAACCTTGGGATCTGAACTATATGTTGTCATAATAGTTTTACTGTGAATAATCTGATGAGAATTTTTATCCTGTACATGTTCACTAGAATTATATGTATTAGTTGCTATGCAATCCATAATCTGATCAGAGGACTCTGCATTCTGTTCACTAGTAGATACTTCTGAATTGGGATTGTATGTCACAGCTGCTGTATTGTCTATAATCTGATCAGAGGACTCTATATTCTGTTCACTAGTAGATATTTCTGAACTGGGAATGCATGTCAAAGTTGCTGTATTGTCTATAATTTGATCAGAGGACTCTGTATCCTGTTCACTAGTAGGTCCACCTGAACTGGGATTGTTTGTCACAGTTGCTGTATTGTCTATAATCTGATCAGAACACTCCATAATTTGTTCACTTGCAGGAACATCTGAACTATAATTGTATGTTATAGAGGTTGCTTTACTGTCCATAATCCGATCAGAATCATCCTTGCTCTCCATAATTTCATTACTGGTCAAACCTGATTTAGAATTACAGGTCATAATAGTATCTGTACTTTTACTACACTCTGTACTAACATTTTCACTTACTGTGTTAGCTTCAGAATGTAGCAAATTACCTTTATGTGATCCCTTGTTATTATGGGTCTTTGTTAGTTTAATTCTACTCTTCCGTTTTGTCCACCTAGTTTGCCTGTTACGCCTTTTTCTCTGAATCAGATTCCCCTTTTTATCTCCTTCTTCCATCTCTTCTTTGTCATGCATACTGATATTTACACTGGGGATGCAGGGCTTATGTATATCTTCTGAATTTGTCTCTTTCCCTGATGTACTGTTTTTCTCACTTTGGCCAGACTTCTGTTTTTTCTTTGCAGCAAGTCTACTGCTACTTCTCCGTATATTTGGTTTATTTGTACTTTCCTCTTGGGTACCGAATACACTGATAGTGGGAGCGGAAGCAAATACAGACACATCTTTAACTAAGGCCTCCTTATCTGTTCTTACCTCATCTTTAACCTCTTCTAGATTTTGTGCTTCATTTTCACAACATACACCAGTCTTATCTCTGATATTTGTCATACTCAAATTTTCACAATTTACAAAATCTTCAGAAAATGAACATTCTTGTGAGGATTCATTACCCTTCACAGATGATGATGAGAGCCAAGATTCATGTTGCTTGGAAGATGAGGATGATAGTGGTGATATTAGGGCAACAAGTTGATTCATCATAACCATTTTCTGAGTGTTCATTTCGTGAACCGGACTAGAGAAGCTGGGCACAGCTTGCTCTGCATAAGCTGTTGAAATATTAACATTGGCATCCTTTACAGTAGCTTTATTTTCCCCAATGGTTTCCTGAGTTGTATTAACAGTATGCATGGCTTGGTTACAACTGCCTCTGGTTTTATTATTAAATATTGTACCTCTTCCTTGTTCTACAGAGAGATTCTCTCTACTTCCAGTACAAATTCCAACATTTTCTTTATTAGATACATCAACATTATCACAGAAAAGTTGCTCACTCACAGTGTGTGACACTGTGAGTGAGCAACTCTCATTATCTTCTGTAGCAGACATGCTAGTATTATCACATAAATCTTTCTCAATTACAGTGGCTTGACCACTGCTATAAGGTCCACTATCTTTTGTAGTATTTTTATTGTTAGTAAGACCTTGTTTTTTCTCAGTATTGTCTCCCTCTTCAACAAGGCTCCCACTGTCTCCTTCACTAGACAGAGGTATGGTGTTACCCTCACACTCTCTACCATTCTTTATGGTGCCTACATTTCCATGCAAAATCGCTGTGCTGCAAACATCTACTTTAAGTCCTGATGCATCTACTGCACTATTTATATTATCTGTTAGGTCAGGACATTCTAGACTATTTTCTAGGTCACCAACTGTTTTCTCAGATTTTGTATTGCTCACTGTGGTTTCCAGCTGTTTATTCTGATTGAGCAACTTTTGATAGGCCAACTTAATGTCTTGAATACGATGAAATTCACCACCCGTTTTTCCAGAGCCTAACCTCTTATCTTTGGTTTTTGAATTACTGAAAGGTTTTCCCACCTCTGTCAAAGTTTTACCAGTGGAATTATGAGAGTTCAAGTGTTGCGGCTCTGCCTTCTCAACTGTAAGCTTTGCCTTGTTAGTCACTGTTAATGTTTCATCAACAGGAACCTCAGTAGTGATATTCCCAACACTGCTGGATTCTTGGTGATGGTTAGTACATAATGTAATTTGCTCGTTACTCAAGTCTAACGTATTTTGGTCATTACCAGTGTGTAATGCATCTAAATCATTACTCGAGTCTAACATATTTTGATCATCACTAGTGTGTAATCCCCTCAGATCATTACTACCGCTTAATATATACTGATTATTATTATTACATGATATAGCATGATCATTACTAGTATGTGATGTAGTTTGGTCATTACTTGAGAGCCTATCCATAAAAGTAACACTTATTCCATCGTTCTGTTTCTCTGGAGAAGCATCCCAGACAGGGGTTGATAAATTAACCTCAGCAGGGACCACCATCAAATCATCAGATACACCAGGATTTTTACTCTCGATAGCAGGTTCTGCAACTTCTAATCTCTTTTCCTTACTGGGACTATCATTATCTGTATTGCTTATGGTTGCATGACTATCTTGACTATCATCAATAGAAAAGCTTTGTGAAAACTGAAAGCGTTGAAGTATATGTGTATTTCTGGCAATTTTACTAGTTTCCTCCTCATCAGGATCATCAGAATCTGAAAGCCTGAAGTCATCCAGTATACTGTCTGCTCGTTCCTGAGTGACATCAGTGACTGAAAATCCTTCCGATAACTGTGACACAAATTTCTTGGGTGCCTCATTACAAGAATCATCAGAAGAATCACTAAAGGAGCCAAAGAAGTCCTCATCATTAGGCCCATGGAAGAGCTTGTCAGAACATCTTTTCAAATTTTTTTCTATCTCATCATTCTCTCCTGCAGATAGCACACCTTTCTCCTCCGGGAATGAGAACGAACTTTCCAAACAATCCAATTTTTCAGGAGGTTTCATGTCATTGAGAATCTGTCTAATGATGTCCTCTCCACTTTCTAGATCAACATAGGTGTGGCCACCATGCCTGCTATCACTATTATTCATATCAGATTTTATCTTAGTTTCAGATACCTTCGGTTCAGCAGCTCTGGCATTCTCAACATGCTCAGTCTTTTCTACCAAATTACTGTTATCTTTATTAAAGTCGTCATCATCCTCAGAATCCATTATTGATGGTATTCTTTTAGCCTTCAGTTCTTCTCCGCTTTTTCTTCGTTGTCTCACACCAGGTTTGCCATCAGAGGTATCAGATTTAATTACTATGTTGTCAAACAATGTGTCACAGCTGGTTGAGTCACAAGTGACTTTATTTGTGCAAGTAATGCTATTAAAATCTGCAGGAGCTGCAAATACCTTCAGTTTAGCAGCTACTGTGTCCTGCGCATCCTCCTGATCCTCCTCTTGTAGTAAAGGATCATGGATAGTGTTTCCACGCTTAGAATGCCTAAGTGATGGAATTCTATGGAGCTTTTGTTCTCTGTTTTTTCTCTTTCTCACATTGCTATTATTAGTATCAGATTTTACTGTCATTTCAAATGAGGCATCATGGCTGGGTGAGCTGCGAGTGGCTTTATTGAAGCAAGTAGTGCCATTAAGATTTAGAGCATCTGTCAAAGTCTTCAAGTTAGTGTCTCTTTTGTTTATTACATGCATGTTCTTCTGTATTAAAGGATCACTAGCCATGTCTCCCTCCTCTTCAGAATCCATAATTGAAGGTATTCTATGAAGCTTTTGTTTTCTGCTTTTCCTCTGCTTCATCATACGAGCTCCACCAACAACACTGTTGGATTTTATTTCAGTCAATTCGAACGAGGTGTCACAGTCATTTGAGTTATGGGTAACATTACTGAAACCTGTGGTGACCTTAAGCTTTGAAGGAGTTGCAGATGCTTTTAATTTATCAACTCCTGTGCTCGGTACATGCCCATTGCTTTGTATTAAAGCTTCTCCATTAATATTAATGTCATCATCATCCTCAGAATCCATAATTGATGGAATTCTTTGAGGCTTGTCTTCTTTCCTGTGTCTTCTTTGTATTCCAACATTTTTTGATTTCTGGTCATTAGTTTTCTTTTCTGCTAATTTTGATTTTGAAACTTTAACTTCATCTTCCTTTTCTGGCTCTTGTATAGTGGACTTTCTTCTTGTAACAACACCTTCAGATTTAACCTGTTTCTTTTTTAATTCTTCTTTTTCTTTACCAGCAACAGTTACCATGACTTTTGACTCCTCCTCAGAATCTTGTATCAATTTATCAAGCTGCTTGGCTTCCTTGGCCAGAACTTTAGAGGAAATATTTTTTATGTCCTCATCATAGTGATAATCCTCACACAAATCACTAAGTCCAACATCAAAGTCATCCAGCCAATTTTCTAAAGATGGCAAGGAAGCAATTTCAACTAGATTTTTCTTGTACTTTCTTTCCTCCTTTTCACGGAATGCCTTGTACTGAGAGCAGAGAACATTCTCACTTACTTTCAGCAGAGAATGCAGTCGTTGCCACACAGTAGATTCAATGCCACCTGGTAAACACCCTGCAATGTGAATTGCAACTTTAAATTGTGTTCTATGGTTTTCGATGCCAAATTTCTCTATTTTGGCCATTCGTTCTTATGTAAATATTAAGAAAATTAGAGTGAATATTATAATGTCTATGAAATCCACATTGGACCCATATCTGAATAAAAATTTATTATGCAGTTATAATTTTGTATTATTCATGGTTTCTAGTGAGGTGAGACCTGCAAGTCACGTAACCTGGCAATTCTGTAGGGATGACAGCATATATACACTGTATGTTGTGCTTCTTAGCCAGTTGTTCAGACAACCCAAACTGCCCTAAAATACTATATATATTCTAAGTCATGGTTTAAGTTCCAAAATTTCAAGCAAAAAGAGAGGAGGCCAACCTATTTATGAGTAACACTTTCGAGAGGCTTATTTTGGAAGAATGAAAATACAATTTGATATGTGTTTGCTGACCTCTGTCATACAGTAGCAGCCCATAATCTCTGGCCACCTTCAGACTCCAGAGAGCCTTCTTGCTGTTGCGTTCAAAGTGTAGCCGACGATCATCAATGAAGTCCTTGAGTTCGCTAATTTCACCTGTGGTACAGAAGTAATAATTAAGGTGTGCTGAATTTAATCATTCAAATCACAAGATGGCTACTGGAAAATTTGCTTTTCCCCTAAACTCTCAAATCATTAGAAATTCATATTACTTTCATGACAATCACTAAATCCATGGGGGTTTTATAACACCTGGGGAACGGGAGGCAATCATGTTCACTTTAAAGAAGAAGTCAGCTCCAATTCCTCAGTTCAAGAACCTGTCATAAGCATCAAGAGGCTATGAATGCACAGAATTTTGAACAAAGATTTTTTTTTTTTTTTAACAAGTCAGCCGTCTCCCACCGAGGCAGGGTGACCCAAAAAGAAAGAAAATCCTCCTCAAAAAAATACTTTCATCATCATTCAACACTTTCACCACACTCACACATAATCACTGTTTTTGCAGAGGTGCTCAGAACACAACAGTTTAGAAGCATACTATATGTATGAAGATACACATCATATCCCTCCAAACTGCTAATATCCCAAAACTGCTCCTTTAGAGTGCAGGCATTGTACTTCCCATTTCCAGGACTCAAGTCCGGCTATATAAAAATAACCGGTTTCCCTGAATCCCTTCACTAAATATTACTCTGCTCACACTCCAACAGCTCATCAGGTCCCAAATACCATTCGTCTCCATTCACTCCTATCGAACATGCTCATGCACGCCTGTTGGAAGTCCAAGCCCCTCGCCCACAAAACCTCCCTTACCCCTTCCTTCCAACCTTATCAAGGATGACCCCTACCCTGCCTTCCTTTCCCTACAGATTTATATGCTCTCCATGTCATTCTACTTTGATCCATTCTCTCTAAATAACCAAACCACCTCAACAACCCCTCCTCAGCCCTCTGACTAATACTTTTATTAACTCCACACCTTCTCCTAATTTTCACACTCTGAATTTTCTGTATAATATTTACACCACACATTGCATCTAGATAGGACATCCCACTGCCTCCAACCGCCTCCTCGCTGCTGCATTCACAACCCAAGCTTCACACCCATATAAGAGTGTTGGTACAACTATACTTTCATACATTCCCTTCTTTGCCTCCATAGACAATGTTTTTTGTCTCCACATATACCTCAATGCACCACTCACCTTTTTTTCCCTCATCAATTCCATGATTAACCTCATCCTTCATAAATCCATCCGCTGACACGTCAACTCCAAAGTATCTGAAACATTCACTTCTTCCATACTCCTCCTCCCAAATTTGATATCCAATTTTTCTTTATCTAAATCATTTGATACCCTCATCACCTTACTCTTTTCTATGTTCACTTTCAACTTTCTACCTTTACACACTCTCCCAAACTCATCCACTAGCCTTTGCAATTTTTCTTTAGAATCTCCCATTAGCACAGTATCATCAGCAAAAAGCAACTGTGTCAATTCGCATTTTGCATTTAATTCCCCAAAATTTCATCCCACCCCTCTCCTGAACACCCTAGCATTTACTTCTTTTACAGCCCCATCTATAAATATATTAACCCTTTCAGGGTCCACAGGCCCTCTCAGAGACTTGTTCTCAGGGTCGCCAAAATTTAAAAAAAAAAAAAAAATTTCTTTTGAAAAGATAGAGAATCTTTTCCCCGATCATAATGACACCAAAAGTATGAAATTTGATGGAAAACTTATGGAATTATGCTCCCGCGAAGTTAGCGGTCTCGACGATATTTACGCATCAGCGATTTTGCCCACTTTGAGCCCTATTTTCGGTCAATTCCAATGTACTAGTCGACAAAAATCATAACTATTTCGCTAGAACTCGATTTTTTTCTATCGAATGAGTACAAGAAACCACCAATTTACCCATTTCAACTATCCAGTACAGTGGTCAGAATTTAGCAATTTTGTCAATTTCACACAAATGTCAGATGATGCCAATTACCAAATAGGGTCCAGAATAAACAAGAAAGACATTCCTGGCACTAAAATAACATTTCCTCTGTTCATTAGTCACATCCCCAGGCCCTTCTTACATTTTTTTTGCTTTCCGCTTTGAATTTTTATTCTCACAAAAAAAAAATAAGATTTACTGTTATGCAGACTACTGCATTAGTGTAGAAATGGTATAAATAATATCGGCGCACTTGTGAAAGAATATCAGACTCACCAGTTGACGTGTATTGGACGCTTAGCATGATTTGTTTACTTTTGAACTTTGGTAAAAATCGAACATTTCTGCTATTTTGAGCTCAATTTCAAGGTACTTTTCATTGTAAAACCAGTCAAAATCATCTCAATTTCTGTAATATGTCTTCCATTCTATACAATGAGACCAGGAAAACTAGAATACAACCATAAATACCATACGAAAATACAGTGCAAAGTCTCTGTTTTAATCCAAAAACACAGTCAAAGTTTTTTTTTTCTCATTAAGCACTGTGTGCTGCAGGATTTTTTTTATACTGCGCACACTGACCACATAGACCCATTCTCTCACTAGATTTGAAGGCACTAGAATTTATGCGTACTAGTATGTCACGGACACTGGTGCGTAAGCCGTACTAATACGTCCGAAACCCTGAAAGGGTTAAACAACCATGGTGACATTACACATCCCTGTCTAAGACCTACTTTTACTGGGAAGTAGTTTCCCTCTCTTCTACACACCCTAACCTGAGCCTATCCTCATAAAAACTCTTTACAGCATTTAGCAACTTACCACCTATTCCATATACATGTACAGTGGACCCTCAACCAATGATGGCATTGTCTAACGTTAAATCCGATTAGCGATACATTTTAACGCAAAAAAACTCGACCAATACGATTTGTTCCATTCGAGATGCGTCCACTTGTGGCCAGTGTTTACAAGCCAGCCAGCCACCGAGGTCCCATCCAAACATACAATCGGAACATTTCATATTATCACAGCGTTTTTAGTGATTGCACCTGCAAAATAAGTCACCATGGGTCCCAAGAAAGCTTCTAGTGCCAACCCTACAGCAAAAAGGGTGAGAATTACTATGGATATGAAGAAAGAGATCATTGCTAAGGGGTTGGAGGTTAGTGGGGAGGATGTGGAAGAGTTGGTGGAGGACGACAATGAACTAACCACTGATGAGCTGCTAGATCATCTTCAACAGCAAGAGGCCAGACCTGAGGAAACTGCTCCAGAGGAGGGGATAGAGAAAATGAGGAAGTTGCCTACTTCAAAGATTAAGGAAATGTGTGCAATGTGGCTTAAAGTGCAAACCTTTTTTAATGAAAATCACCCTGACACAGCTACTGCAAGCCATGTTGGCAACCTGTACACTGACAATGTTATGGCCCATTTTAGGAGTCTTAAAGGAACAGGAGGTACAGAGCTCTATAGACAGATATGTTGTGCGACAGAGGTCCAGTGACTCTCAAGCTGGTCCTAGTGGCATTAAAAGAAGGGAAGTAACCCCGGAAAAGGACTTGACACCTCAAGTCCTAATGGAAGGGGATTCCCCTTCTAAACACTAACACCATCCACACTCTCCCCTACTCCCATCCCATCAATCATCACCAGATCTTCAATAAAGGTAAGTGTCATGTAATTGTACATGTCTTCTTCAGTTTGTGTGTATTAAAATTAATATTTCATGTGGTAAAAAATTGTTTTTTTCAATACTTTGGGGTGTCAGGAACGGATCAATTTGATTTCCATTATTTCTTAGGGGAAAAATTAACTTGACTAACGATAATTTTGACTAACGATGAGCTCTCAGGAACGGATTAATATCGTTGGTCAAGGGTCCACTGTACTTGCAACATCAGCCACATTGCTCCCCTATCCACTCTATCATATGTTTTTTCTAAATCTATAAATGCAATAAAAACTTCCCTACCTTTATCTTAATACTGTTCACATATATGTTTCAATGTGAACGCTTGATCTACACATCCCCTACCCACTCTGAAACCACCTTGCTCATCTGCAATCCTACATTCTGTCTTACCTCTAATTCTTTCAATAATAACCCTACCGTACACTTTTCCTGGTATACTCAGTAAACTTATTCCTCTATAATTTTTACAATCTCTTCTGTCCCCCTTCCCTTTATATAAAGGGACTATACATGCTCTCTGCCAATCCCTGGGTACCTTCCCCTCTTTCATACATTTATTAAACAAAAATACCAACCACTTCACCACTATATCCCCCCCTGCTTTTAGCATTTCTGCCATGATCCCGTCAGTTCCAGCTGCTTTACCTCCTTTCATTCTACATAATGCCTCACGCACCTCTCCCACACTCATATCCTGTTCTTCTTCACTCCTAAAAGATGGTATACCTCCCTGGTCAGTGCATGAAATTACCGCTTCCCTTTCTTCGTCGACATTTAAAAGTTCCTCAAAATATTCTCGCCATCTACCAAAAACCTCCATCTCCCCATCTACTAACTCCCCTACTCTGTTTTTAACTGACAAATCCATTCGTTCCCTAGGCTTTCTTAACTTGTTTAACACGCTCCAAAATTTTTTCCTATTTTCATTAAAATTTCTTGACAGTGCCCCTCCCACTCTATCATCCACTCTCCTTTTGCACTCTCTCACCACTCTCTTCACCTTTCTTTTACTCTCCATATACTCTACTCTTCTTATAACACTTCTGCTTTGTAAAAACCTCTCATAAGCTAACTTTTTCTCTTTTATCACACCCTTTACTTCATCATTCCACCAATTACTCCTCTTTCTCTGCCCCCACCCTCCTATAACCACAAACTTCTGCCCCACATTCTAATACTGCATTTTTAAAACTATTCCAATCCTCTTCAACCCCCCCCCACTACTCATACTTGCATCAGTCCACCTTTCTGCCGACAGTCGCTTATATCTCACCTGAACTTCCTCCTCCCTTAGTTTATACACTTTCACCTCCCTCTTACTTGTTGTTGCCATTTTCCTCTTTTCCCATCTACCTCTTACTCTAACTGTAGCTACAACTAAATAACGATCCGATATATCAGTTGCCCCTCTATAAACATGTACATCCTGGAGCCTACCCATCAACCTTTTATCCACCAATACATAATCTAACAAACTACTTTCATTACGTGCTATATCATACCTTGTATATTTATGTATCCTCTTCTTCATAAAATATGTATTACTTATTACCAAACCTCTTTCTACATAAAGACTGTAAACATAAAATACGAAGTTATAAAATATCAAAGAAAACGATGAAAAGATAGGTTGAGTTATATTCTTAATTTACAAAGTCTAGCAAAAATATTCTGGTATGTTTACTATGGCAGTTTTATTTACTTAATAAATATTTAGGGACAAGAGAAAACTGAAATGTAAAACATACCACAGATGAACTGTCAACACAGAATAAGACAAAAAATGGTACGATGATACCAACAAGAAATGGAAAAAGACACTTGTGTACAGTACAGAACATGTATTGCATAACCATTATAGATAAGGCTTGTCAGGGAGTGACCTCCAGGACGATGAACTCTGCTTGGGGAAAATTGTGGTCAGAATGTGTCCAAGGGAAGGATTTTGAAGGGTTTGGAGCTGACCCTGTCAACCCAATGCCTGTTGTGGAATGTACTGTGGCACTGGGGAACTCCATGGGGTTAGATGCGAGTGGCCAGGATATGGAAGAGTTGGTGGAGGACCACAGTGAAGAGCTAACCACTTAAGAGCTGCAAGAGCTTCATCTGCAACAGCAACAGACCACAGCTGAGGAAATTGTTTCACAGGAGGAGGAACAGAGAGGGAAGAAGGTGCCTTTTTCAAAGATTAAGGACATTTATGCAAAGTGGAGTGAGGTGCAAACGTTTGTGGAGGAACATCACTCTAACAAAGCTGTTGTAGCTCATGTCTGCGACATGTTCAATGACAATGCCTTGTCCCATTTTAGGCAAATCTTAAAGAGATGCCAGAAACAGAGCTCTCTGGAACAATTTTTTGAGCGACAGGGGTCCAGTGACTCTCAAGCTGGTACTAGTACCATTAAAAAAACAAAGAAGGGAAGTAACCCCAGATAAGGACTTGGTACCTAAAGTCTTCATGGAAGGGGATTTCCCTTCCAAATACTAGTAACTTCCCATACCCCGGCCGGGATTGAACCCGCGGTCAGAGAGTCTCAAAACTCCAGACCGTCGCGTTAGCCACTAGACCAGCTAGCCACAATAAGATTCGTCCAACTAGGTATATTTCTACACCATAGGAAGGTTAGCACAGGCACCACTGTGACCACAAATGCAAGTTTTTACAGATGAATCTCCAGCTAGCGTGGCCGTGACGAACTCTAGCTCAAGTCCCCTCACTGCCGTCAACATGACTCACGAAATCGTAATGACACGATTACAAACAAACCATACCATTCAATCCCGGCCGGGGTGTGGTTTGTTTGCAATCGTGTCATTACGATTTCGTGAGTCACTAGTAACTTCTCCCTCTCCCCTCCTCTTGTCTTCCATACACCAACAAGAGTCTTCAATAAAGGTAAGTGTAATGTTGTTATTGCTTCATAGTGATTTGTCATTCTTTTCTGTATGTAAATCTATATTTTTTGTTAATACTTTTGGGTGTCTGGAATAGATTAATTGGATTTACATTATTTCTTATGGGGAAAATGGTTTTGGTTTTCATGAATTTTGGTTTTCAGCAGACTCTCTGGAAGGGATTAATCACGAAAACCTAGGGTCCACTGTATTTGTTCACATTATTTTGTACTGCAACGTAAAATCAATAATTAAAAAAATAAATTAACACACCAATCATCTGCTGAGGCAGATGACCTGAAAAAGAAGCAACACTTTCACCATTATTCACCCCATCACTGTCTTGCCAGAGGCATGCCAATACTACAGTTCAAAACTGCAAAATATCCCCACCCCTCCTTAAGAGTGCAAGCACTGTACTGCCCACCTCCAGTATACCTAAGTCCAGCTAACTGGCTTCCCGGAATCCCTACATAAATATTACCTTACTCACACTCAAACAAAAAAAACTAAGTGTAAAAAATACAGGCTTTCCTATGATTTACTACAGAGGTTGAGTGGGGACGGTGCAGTTCAGAGGATCATTTAAACTTTGATATTTGCACAATTCTAGCAAGACAGCTATTGAATCAATGATGGCAAATACATCATCTTTGTGCTCCACTATGTGGAAAATGAAAAATTTGGTATAAAAAATTACCCAAGCAAGACTGGAAAACATTTCACTAATAAGTAAAAAATAACATTAATGAGGACATGAAAGCATTAGCAGGAGAGCAGTATGTAAGCCTAGCTTTAAATAAGATTTACTAATCTTATCAAGTTATCATCTTCCTTATCAGTGAGTGTATAGCTGCCTTTGTGCTCATGAGCCATACTAGTCAACAACAATCCATAGCTCATGTACACAGAAGCACTGCAAATACACTTTTTTCTAATAGTCAGATTACACTGTTCAGTACAAATTGAAAAGAGGTAAATGATGTCTGTGAAGCCTTCTTATCTCCTACAATCAGATGATTACCATTAATTCTTCATAAAAATTAATTTCTAAATTTCTCTGTGAGCAAACCCAGACGAAGTTAAGTGCATAATACGTCAGTGCTGATAAACCTGACTACTGGTGCAAAATAGATCTCCAGTCAGTAATTAAAACAAAATGTTTTTTATATACATTTTGCTACTAACAGTTGGAAACATAGTGTGCCATCCTGAGAGAGTTATTGTTAAGCTAGCCAATGGTGGTACAAGTCGACCCATACTAGTGCAACCCTTTAAGCACAACCATGATCATCTGGTACAACCCCTGGAACACAACCATGAGCCTCCTAGTATTTCCACAACAATAGACAAAAACCTGGTCCCAGTCCCTCAAGCCTTAACTCAAGGACAACCACATAAAGAAGAGAATAAAGGTAAGGCAGTAGAGTTTGAGAAAGGAACAAATTCTTTGCAGAAAATTGTCAATGATTCAGATACAGCACCACACAATACTGATGTGGATAGAAAAGGTGCACAAGAAAAATATTTGCAGAATCATACTCAAAAAAGTGTGGTAACATCTCAAAGGGGGTCAGCAAATGACAAAGTATACAGTGAACATACAACTCATAGTGTTACAATTGCTGAAGTCAACTCCTTTTATATAGATATAAATGGGGAAGATAACCTTAGGGAAGGCAGAGACATTGATGAAAATATAGAAGTCCTTAGTATTAAAATGATCACTCCCCAAACAACCGTCAAAAGCACAAAAGAAATACTGACTACAGAAATACCACATACACCTAAAATTCCCTTGGAGCAAACAAGCACCCCACAAAGCACAAGGGATGCAGGCGTCTCACCATCGATGGCACCTCCCGAGCTTCCCTGTCATGAGTCGTGCATTGCAGCTCTAAACAAAACAATATTATACGGGGACACCAGCTTAGTACTCAGCCAAGGCTCGGACCTGACGCTTGTCTGCGAACTTCCACTTAATGTGAGTCTTTATAGGGAGAATCTCATCTGGCTCTTCCATCCCAACAACAGCCCTGAAGGTCAATGTTCTCTCACCACACAAGAATTCCTCCCCTCTTGTTATGGATTCCAAAGCATTAAGAACACTGATGACCGCAATGCTACCTTCCTCAGAGAAACCATCACACTGAGCAATATCCAGACTAATCATACAGGTCAATATATGTGTCAGGTGAGTCCTGCTCTAGCCTAATATAGGTACCAACAAGTTGTATGCAATTCTTACTTTGTACTGTCGATCTTTTACTTGCTATAATGGTAATTTAACTTTATTATTACAATAGATCATCTCTTATCCAGCAATTGTAGAGCACCTGTATCGATAGTGCAGAACAGGAATGAGCAAAAAATAAGGACCCCCCCAAAAAAAACATGCAATTATCCAATTTTTTTAATAATCAGGGCAAGCTTTTCCTGATGGAATCAGGTACTTGATGCTCTACCGTAATATATACAGAAATGTCAGATTATTACCAGATTCTGTTAATACTAATTCATCTGAAAAACATGCAAGATGTATTAAATTCCTCATCACAACTGTTATAACTTCAACTATACAGCACCCTGCTTGGGTGGGAGATGGCCAGTGCATTAAAAAATAAAAAATTATAATCTTTATATCAAACAGAACATACTGTTAACCTGTCACTGTAATGGTCAAGGGAGGTGCCCCCTCATTTCCAATCCTAGTGCAGAACTGTGTATCTCATGATAAAAACAAATGTATGAATACATCCAAATATCCAATGCCTCTCCCTCTCTTGCTTCTCTCTTTCTCCCACTACCTCTTCATCTTTATCACCACCTCCAAGCATTCCCTCCTGTACAAATATGTAATATATACATGTTAATGTTTTCTTAAGCCTTACCCCCCCCCCCTTTATCCTTTCTAATTTATGTGGTCTGGTCTGAGACCAGATCACATAAATTAGAAAGGAAATTCAGGTATAACCTGAATAAGGCTTTTTTAAGACCCACACAGGAGAGTAAAGCAGTGTATACTGAATAAACATAAACAGTTGTAATATATATCTTTCCTCTTGTAGGCTCATGAAAAAAAGAAAAAACCAGCAATCCTGCAAGTACAAAACACAACAAAAGGCTTCAGCTTCCCATTCATGTAATGACACCAGCACTCGCCTGGATAGTTGCTGTCTACCAGAACGGGCAAACTCATTCTTTGCTGTCATTCCAGAAGAACACACAGACAATAACAATTGTAGTCATACACCAAAACACAGCATCCCCACCCATCCCTCAGTGTAAATGCTCAATTGTACTTCTAGCCTCCAAAACTCAAGTCTGGCTTGCTGGGTTCCTGAATCGCTTCAAAGACGCTACATTTTTCCTAGTCCAAGAGCACATACTTACATTCCTGTTGGAGGCAAAAGCCTCCTACATCTCAAAACAATTTACACATACTTCTTCAAACCTTCCTGAGACACCCTCCATCTTTCATCCATCCCAGATTTCTACACCCTTTTAATCCATCATTTCTAAGAGACCAAATCATTTCAACAAAGGTATTATTTTACCACATCAGCTATTTCCCACCAAAGTATGGTGACACAGAAAGGAAAGCAGTCACCATCATTCAATCAACAGCTATCTTGCCAGAAATATGCAGACTTCACAATTCAACTGACTCTCCAAAGTGCAACATCCCCACCCATCCTTCATAGTGCAGGCACTATACATCCCATTTCCAGGACTCAAGTCTGACTAACAGGTTACCCAGAGTCCCTTCGTGAATGTTACTTGCTCACACTCCAACTTGTCTCTGCTCACCCTTATCTATTAAGACAGCTTTTCCACTAACATAAATTGAGGGAGGTAGACTTCTTCAGTAAATGTTCTAAGAATAATACACAGTACATAAGTTTTAAAAAATGGGGTTAAGCAATAATACCCTCCACTTCCTTTTACAGGTGCAACTAACGTGTTGCTTAAACAGTAAAGAGCACACCATGAGTCAAGAACGCATTCTCTACGTAAGAGTGTGGATATCCAACTACATCCTTGATCTAGCCGTGACTGGGACCGTGGCTGCAGCACTCCTGCTGCTTGTAGTCGCAGTCACCTACTATTTAACTCAACGTCAACACGACGATTATGCTATTGTTGAAGACATGAGAGATATCAAACCATCAACAGTGCTCCACATGCCATTAATTGATGACCAAGATAATGACAGCTTTGATAGTAACTTTGATGAATAAAACTAGTGCTTATTAATGCAGTGTAATAACCTACATTAACTAAGGATTGTGTTCATCTAGTTAACTAAGGTACTTTATGATTCTGTAAAGCTTTAACCTTTGCCCCTAACATAATCTTCCTCTTACTCATATAAGAAATGTACTGCTTACAAGGACATGCCTCTTTTTTTTTTTTTTTTTTTTTTTTTTTGACATGTACAGCAGACCCCTGGTTTTCGTAATTAATTCATTCCAGAAGGTTGGCCAAAATCTGAAATGGTCGCAAACTGAAGTAATATTTCCCATAAGAAATAATGTAAATCCAATTAATCCATTTCAGACACCCAAAATTATTAACAAAAAATACATTCTATAGAGAATAACTCTAGTTTTACATACAGAAAACAATGAGGAATAACTATAAATGACTAACTTTAATGATAAATGAACATTACATGTATATACCTTTATTGAAGACTCTTGTTGGTGAGTAGTATTCATTTGTGGTCCCAGACGGACTACATCCCAGGTATATACTTACCGGCTACATACACTGTGGCCTACAGCCATATTATTACCATCGGCATACCATGTTCACTGAGTTTAATCGTATCTAACAACTACCTTTAGATGCCATCATAAACAAAGGGAGAAGTAATGAATAATTGATGCTGAGAACTGTAAACAAAAGCAGAGTGTTAAGGGGAGTGACTGGGCCAAATGCAGATTCATATGTTTTCTCTGAAGCCGGACCAGAGAAAATGTAATGTTTACCTTCCACAAACTACCATCCCTGGATAGCATATAAATATTGCATGTTTATATACTACGTGTAATGTTTTTCTTATATAATTTTGAAGAAAATATCATAGATGGATTAATGAAAATGTCTACATTAATGTAAAATAAGACATGTAATGTGCCCAAGAGTGATTATTATTGCGTACTATTAGGATTACTATGGCGTTAAGACTAGAGGGACACTCTTAGTGAACGAGTAACAAAGGCATGTTTATATGCTATGTAATGTGTTTCTTATAGTATAATTTTGAAGAAAATATCATAGATGAATTAATGAAAAATGTCTATATTAATCTAAAGTAAGACATCTCATGTTCCCAAGAGTGAGTCACAAACGTATGAGCAGCCCAGGAGCACACATCCGATACCAACGATTTCCAAGCGGATGTACGAAACCCGGGGGAAAATTCCACTAAAAAAAGTGATCAAAATCCAAATTGTACGATTTCCACACCGGCTGAAAATCTGGGGTCCACTGTGCTCAAATATTGAGGACACTGTGTAATTATGAAGATTGACTATAATTATTTTTTCCACATTTCTCAAATAGAATTACATTCAAGAAGACACCATTTTTTGTAATTTTTTATTACACTATGAATTAACCCTTAAACTGTCCAAAGGTAGATCAACGTTCACATGCATACCGCTCTGAATATTTTTGGAAAAAAAAAAAAAAAATTAAATTAACCATTTCAGGGTCCGTCCCGTAGATCTACAGCTTTACGTTCAGGGTCCAAACCGTAGATCTACATCATGAGCTCAGCTCACTCTGATAAACTGTGAGTGGTACATTTGGGCCTAGATATGAGAGAATACATCTATGTGGTATGTGTGCACCACATAAAACAGATCCTGCAGCACACTGTGTATAATGAGAGAAAAAAAAATGAAATCATGATTTTTCGATTAAAACAGCGACTTTGCAGTGTTTTCTCGTATGTTTTTTATAGTTGTATTTGCGATTTCTTGGTCTCATTTGATAGAATGGAAGACATATTACAGAAATAGAGATGATTTTGATTGGTTTTAGCACTGAAAATGGCTTGAAACTGAGCTCAAAGTAGCAGAAATGTTAAATTTTTGCCGACATTCAAGAGTAAACAAACGACCTCACACGTCTAATACACGCCAGCTGGTGGGTCTAATATGCATTCACAAATATGGAGATGACATTTATACAATTATTACAGTATTGCATAACAGTAAATCTTCTATTTTTTGGTGTGAATAAAAATTAATTATGTGAATAAAAAATAAAAATGGAATTTATTTGTAAAGCCTCAAAACATAACTAATGAACAGAGGAAATGATAGTTTAGTTCCAGGAATACCTACATTGTTTATTCTGGACCCTATTTTGAAATTGGAATATTTTGAACTTTGTGTTAAATTGGCCAAATTAACAATTTCCGATCACTTTAATTTGTAGTTGAAACAGTTGACTTGGCGATTTCTTGTGCTCAATCGATAGAATAGAAGTAATACTAGTGAAATAGCTAAGAATTTGGTTGACTGGAATAATGTAATTGGCCTAAAATGGGAGTCAAAGTCGGCAAAATCGCCGATTCGTAAATATCGCTTACACATGAAAATTCGCGAGAGCATAATTTCGTCAATTTTCCATCAAATTTCGTACTTTTTGTTTCATTACCTTCACAAAAAGATTCTCTACCATTTCATAAGAAAAAATAACAAATTTTTTTTTGGAAAATTCTTGGACACTGGGGCACCACTTCAGATTTGGGCCTTGGACCCTGAAGGGGTTAAGAGCCCATTTTTCCTGGCACCCCCAAATTCAAATCTGTGCACAGACAGTGCACAGACTCATTCTCTCATGTCTAGGCAACTCAGGCTTATCATGCCAAGGTTAAAAGCATGTAAAATAAAATGCAGATCTACGATAGGAGAGCTATACATGTGAATGTTGATCTATGTTTGGACAGTTAAAGGGTTAATAAGTAAATGTGTTTTCTGTTAATTAATCCAGACTTACATTATAAAAATAATATATAATACTGACAAAGTGGTGAGTTAGAAATGTACAACATAGGGGCATATCTTTATTTTGAAGACTTTCAAAAGATGTCATTTTGAAGACTTTCAAAAGATGTCTTCAAAATAAAGATACTGATGTGTTGCATGCATGTCTAATTCATTAACCCAGGCCTGGTGGTGGATCATTACCTGATCAACCAGCCTGTTACTGCCGGGAACACGCAAACCAACATACGAACTGCAACCCAGCTGGTCAGTTAGACATGATAATGATGATAGTTTATTCTAACAACTTTTTTTTTAAAAACTGTTCAGAGATCTAGTCCCATACCCCCATTATTTGGTTCCCATACCCTCATTATTTGGTTCCCATACCCCTAACAATTAGAGTAGACCTAGTAACAACTCAGAAAAACAGACCAGGTGCAAGGTGGGGAAGGCCCCCTACCCTTCCTCAGAAAAAACACCAAAAAAAATAAATATTTCTGCCATTTTTGGGCCTGAAATAGGCCCCAAAATGGCCACTAGTATGCCTTTTAATCTTTGAATTGCCACCAATAAACAGAATAAAATTACTATATCTAAAAAGAAAAAGTTTCACTTTTCCTTTCAGGTCACCCTGCCTCAGTGGGATACAGCCAGTGTGTTTAAAAACAGACAATAAAACCATGAAAATCACTCTGAAAAGAAAAGCCTCAAAAAAGCCATTATAATGCAAACATGGGTCAGAGGTTAGCTATTCCCATCATAAAAACATAAAGGATAAACACTGCACCAGGCCTATTGGCCTATACTAAGGAGGTCCAACCTTCACAAATACATCCCACTAACAGAATATTTGCCCAACCCATTTTCAACGCTACCCAAGCAATAAGCATGATGCATGATTTCTTTCATAATTTGAATGAAGTTTGTAGCCTCTGTCCACTGAAACTGTACTTCATCCCCAGAGTGTGTCACAGGGGTTAAGTCTCAGTTCCTAGCCCAGGTTTGCAGGTTCAATTTCTCCTGGCTTTGCTAAACTCTCACAAGGCAACTGTAAAAATGTAAATGAATGACAGCTAAGTCCAAAAAAACTCCAGGATTAAAAAGCAATACAAAAGCTGAACAATTTAGGTAATTTGTTAAAAACAATTTGTGGAGAAATATTAAGATTTCATACTGATAGCTACTTCCCTGCTCAAAGCACTAAGACATAAACGTTGATCCCACTGACGTAAATTAACGTGATACAGTGAAAGGATTAAAGGGTTAAATTTCACACATGAGGGGAATTATACCAGCACTCTTGACTGTCGTCAAGAGGAAACCTGGTAAATTTAAGTCGGTTCCTAATGAGCCTGGCTGTACTGCATACACTGGACTGCATTCAATTAGACCCAACAAGAACAAAAGGCACAATACCATGACTGCAACAATACACAAATAACCAGCGTATAGTAGAGACTTATGACAACATTTCGGTTCAACTTAGACCATTTACAAGTCACACTCTTGTGTTAGTATGGCTTTATATGGTCCAAGTCGAACTAAAACGTCATAGTAAGCTTCTCTCTCCTATGTGCAGGTTACTTGCACATAGGAGAGATAAAGGAGGAGGCCTGGTCTGGGAGAACACTACAGGGGCAGTGACCCCCAAAAGAGTCTTCATGCAACCTTCAGGATTACTGTACTTACTATTTCATCTTAGATTCCATTCTGCTATTCTTCCACTCTATAAAGAAAAACTTGATAGAGAATGTGAGTATAAGGATGTACAAGAGAGTGTAAGCATGCGAGTGCTTGTATGTTCCTAAGTGTCCATGTATACACATGCACTAGTTACTTTATACATACCTGTCTTCTCATCAATAACATTCTTCAGCCTCTTTATTTCACTACGTGCTGAATTCAACTTCTTCTCCAGAATCTCCACGAGGTTGGTATCGACCTTTTCCTTTAGAGACAAAATCTGGTGCTTCTGCTGTTCTATGGTGAAGAGATGATTGTTTTCCTGATTCTCCGCTTTCTCTCTTCTCTTCATCTCCTCCTCCACAGTTTTCTCCATTTGGCGCAATTTAGCTCTGTTAAAAAACAAAACGCTGAGTGATACAACTTGTATGTTATATCTCCTCATAGTTCCGGGGATCCTCATCCCCGCGGCTGGGTCTTTGACCAGGCATCCTAATTTTGAAATGAAATACACCATTTACAAGAATAAAAACTATTAAGAAACACGTGCAAGTGGATACTGAACACACGTAAAAGTTTTGTGGGAATTACCTGCTATCTTATATATACACAAGACAGCAATCCTGCCCGAGTTCAAATTATGAAACAAGTTTCCATTTGACATTCATATGAGAGGATGGTAGTACCTACTAGGATGATTGGTCTACCAACTTACAGCTTGCTGAGAGATTCAAGTAAGAATAAACTTCCTATGAGTGGAGAAGAATTCTTCCTCCGTAAGCCATGTTGTAAGAGGTGGCTAAAATGCTGGGAGCAATGGACTAGTAACCCCTTCTGTATAAATTATTAAATGTTAAAAGAAGGAAACTCTGTTCTTTTTTTGGATCACCCTGCCTCAGTGGCCAATGTGTTGAGAACAACATAAAAGTTCCTACACATCTCTCAAAGGTTTAAAGGTGGTACCCATAAATGGAGGAGCAATGGAAACAAGCAGAAAAACTACCATGATAATGAAATGTTAAATGTTATAAAGAAGAAAGTACTGAGTTTTTAGGAAACCATAGTTCCTATATAGAGGACAAAGGGAGAGAGCAAGAAGAGAGAAGATGAGAAGAGAAGGTTAGAAGGTAGTAAGAAAAGAGTAGGAAGAGATGAGATGAGAAGAGAAGAGCAGGAGAGAGAAAGAAGAGAGATAGAAGTGAGAGGTAGAGAGAGAGTACGAAGAAGAGAGATAGAAGGAGAGGGGAGAGAAAAGAAGTAGAGAGAGAGAGAGAAGGGAGAAGAGAGAGAGAGAGAGAGAGAGAGAGAAGAGAGAGAGAGAGAGAGAGAGAGAAAGAACTATAGAAAATAAGGGGAATGTTGTAGTTAAAGGAGTGAGTACAGTAATTTCACTGCGATATCAGAACACTTCTGGAAAGACGGCAACTGAGTGAATGTTGATGAATGTGTTTTCTTCTTTGGGTTAACCTGCCATGGCAGAAAACAGCCATCAAGGTAAAAACAATTCTATTGATTATGTTGAGTAAAGCGCATGGTAGAATTATTATTGAAAGAGTTACGATAATACAAAAAGTATGATTACAAGAGTAAAAGGAAGATTTAGGAAGGGTGGGAGATGAATAGACCAAGTGCTGACAGGGAAGCAAATAAGCAAACAATATTTTACAAAATGGTGCACAATTATTTGTTGCAGTAATGAATTTAGAAAAGCCATATGATAGGATAATAGAAGAGCAACACTGCAAATGTATGGAATAAGTGACAAGTTACTAAAAACAGCAGAGTTTTAATGCAGACAATGAGGCTAAGGTTAGAGTATGTAGAAAAATGGGCAGTCCTATTTCCCAGTAAAAAAGGCCTTAGACATGGATGTGTGATATCACCATGGTTATAATACACCTTGGTTGTTCGACAGTCTCACACAAAGTGGCAGTTATCACAGCTGGTTTTTTGTCTTTTGGCATGTAAAAGGAAATTATAAGTAAAAATAGAAAAGAGCAAAGTGATTACTCAGGGTAACAATAAATTTAGGCAATGATAAATTAAAATCTCAGATTGGAGGGAGGGAGGGAGGGAGGCAGTACAGAGAGAGAAAAAATATTTAGATAGCTGGGAGAGAATATGTCAGCAGATGGGTCTGTGAAGGATGATGTGAACCATAAAATACATGAAGGGAAAAATGGTGGGTGGTGTGTTGAGGCATCTGTAGAAAGAAAGAAGAGTGTCTATGGATGCAAAAGAGGGAATGTACTAGAATATAGCAGTACCAACACTTTTATATGGGTGTGAAGCATGGGTTTTGAACACTGCAGCAAGAAGGCTAGAGGCAGTAGAGGTGTCATGTTTGAGTGCAACGTGTGGTGTGAATATCATGCACAGGACTCAGTGCATAGAAATTAAAAGAGCATAGGATCACCAAGGGTATAGCTGAGCAGACTGAGTTCTTTAGGTTCTTGAGGCATGTAGAGAGGATGGAGACAGATAGGATGACAGAGGAGTATAATCTGGGTAGGATGACAGGAAGGGTAGGTGTCATCCCAGAAATGGGTGGAGGGAGGGGCTGAAAGAGGTTCTGAGTGCTTGGGGTTTTAACTTCAACTTCCAGCAGTCTTGTGTGAGGAAGGCAACAAGTGATTAACTGATGTGCTGGTGGTGTGTGAGCAAAGTAACATTTATGAAGGGATGCGAGAGAAACCAGTTAGCCAGCCTCGAGTCCTGGAGGTGGAAAGGGCAGTGCTTGCACTCTGCAAGATGGGTGGGGATGTTGCAGTCAGAGGGATATCTGAACTGAGATGTCAGCACACATTTGGAAAGACAGCAACTGAATGAATAATAATGAATGTATTTTCTTTCTTTGGGTCACTTTGCTTTGGTGGGAGATATCTGTTAAGGTAAAAAACGAAAGACACAGTGGTACCCCGAGTTTCAGCCATAATTCATTCCAGAAGGCTATTCGAGTGTCTTTACCGAATGAATTTATTTCCATAAGGAATAATGTAAATTAGATTAGTCCGTTTCAGACCACCAAAAATACTTACAATACTTACAATAATACACTTATATAATTGTTCGAGTTGGGAGCTGTAAGAAACTCGGGGTACCACTGTATAGTACATTATGGGGTTACAGCAAGGAGGAGGGAGGGAGAGGAGGGAGGAGAGAGAGAGAGAGAGAGAGAGAGAGAGAGAGAGAGAGAGAGAGAGAGAGAGAGAGAGAGAGAGAGAGAGAGAGAGAGAGGAGGGAGGAGGAGGGAGGAGAGAGGAGGGAGGAGGGAGGAGGAGGGAGGGAGGGAGGGAGGGAGGGAGGGAGGGGAGGGAGGGAGGGAGGGAGGGAGGGAGGGAGGGAGGGAGGGAGGGAGGGAGGGAGGGAGGGAGGGAGGGAGGGAGGGAGGGAGGGAGGGAGGGAGGGGGAGGGAGGGAGGGAGGAGAGGGAGGAGGAGGAGGAGGAGGAGGGAGGGAGGAGGAGGGAGGGAGGGGGAGGGAGGAGGAGGGAGGGAGGGAGGGAGGGAGGGAGGAGGAGGAGGAGGAGGAGGAGGAGGAGGAGGAGGAGGACCTGATGGGAGATATTGTGTTTGAGGCAAGTGTGTGGTGCAAAAAAATATGCAGAGAATTCAGAACACAGAGATTAGAAATAAAATTCAGAAGACTGAGGAGGATTTCTTAAGGTGGTATGGACAGAGATGATGGAGAAAAAATATGACAACTAATTGGGTATATAAATCTGGGAAAGAGGGAAAGGGGTCATACAGAGGAAGGCTTGGAGGAAAGGAGGTTAGAGTGTTATGGGGTTTGAACATCCAACAGGCTCATGCAAGTGTGTTAGATCAGTCGGAATGGAGGAAAGTGGTTTCCAGTACTTGTCGAGTTGTTGGAGCATGAGGAAGGTAACATTTATGAAGAGATTCAGGGGAAACCAGGCCAGTTAGCCAGATTCAAGTCCTGGAGGCAGCTAATACAGTGCCTGTACTCTAACACACAGGTGATGTTGGCACACTTCTTGTAAGATAGTGACCGAATGAATGAATGAACCTCCCTACCTTGGTGGGAGACAATTAATGTTGAAAAAATGTATGTAAATGAAAGACATGTACAACTAGAACATTTATCGAGATGTTTTGCTCAGAGAAGCTTCATTAATCTAAAACAGTGATGGAAAAAACAAAAGTTAAATAGTAGCCAAAAAGGTGGCATCAGGTGCAGAGGGGAGGACCACTACTCATCTGAGTGTAGATAAGTAGTCATCATTACTTCCAACACAATTAAGGACCTAATTACGAAGGAAGACATCAGACTCACCAAATCTGTAACGGGTGTAGAGTACATGTAATCACTCATGGCAGATATGAAAATATACAATATATATGGGAGAAATTTGTAGGAGCCTGGAACATGTAGAAGAGTACAAATATGTGTAGTAGGGATAGCTAGAACAATGCTTCTATCAGCCACAGTAACCCCAACAATCACTTTATGAGGTTTAACGAGTCCAGACTTATCATCGGTGAGGAAGATAACATAGATAAACATAGACAACTGAAATCTGCGGTTATTGTAACAACCAACACTCACCCACAACATTGATTCTGCATTGCATAAATTGATTCTGCACTGAAGTCTCATAAACAGTGGTCTGCTCTTCTGCATCTGACCCCACCTCTTTTGTTCACTACATAATCTGTTTATTTCCATCTCTGTACTGGACTGATAAAGAACTTGTGAGCAAATTGTCTAAATAAATATCCTATAACTACACATATCTTACATTGTATCTGCCAGCACTGGATGGACAGCAGCAGCAATATGACTACCTCTATCACTCCCTCTCTCATATCATATCTAACAACACTACGTAGGCAACAGCAACAACACTGCCTCCCTCACTCACACATTCTCACACAGTATCTGACAACGCTAGATGGACAGCAGTAGCAATATGACTGCCTCCATCATTCCCACTATTATACCATATCTGACAACACTACACAGGCAGAAGTAACAAGATTGACTCCCTCTCAGAACTCATCAAAGGTATATGCCACATATCAACCACTGAACACATATTGGTGCTTCTCAACTTGCAATGATTCGACTTATGATATTTCGACCTTACAATGGTGCAAAAGTAATTACTTTGGAGATAGAATTTAAGATAATTATCCAGCATGAAGGCAGCAAATCCTTAACTTGCATTCACTTATTTACTTATCAATACTGGTACGTATTTAGTTAGTTACAGTAATTATTTATATACTTATTTAGTGAGTAGTTGTTTATTTACAGTATTTTTTTTTTTTAACAAGTCAGCCGTCTCCCACCGAGGCAGGGTGACCCAAAAAGAAAGAAAATCCCCAAAAATAAAATACTTTCATCATTCAACACTTTCACCTCACTCA